GCGCGTGCTCTACGCTCCACCACGCAGCTCGGCTGGTGCGCCCGGAGCCCGGCCACAATGCCTCTGGGGTAGACCCAGTCCTCTAGGCGGGGTGGTCTGGACGCGAGAGAAACAAACCAGCCCCGGCAGCAGTTGCCCGGACCGCCCCCTCCCTGGAGCCCGGCCGCTCCACCTGCCCATGCGGCGCGCTACGTACCCGTGGCCTCTGACCCGGCCTGGGCCGCAGTCGCTTGCCCAATCTCAGAGGCTCTTACTGGGTAGCTCCCAGAGGGCAGGCGGGGCTTCGGGAGCGTGCGCGCACGCTGACCGGATATCCGGCCAGCGGAAGGAGGCGGGACCAGAGAGGAGAGGCGGGACCAGAGAGGAGAGGCGGGACCAGAGACGGGGGAGGGCGGGACCTAAGAGGGGAGAGCCGCGAAGGCGCACAGCCCTAGATCTCTAGGCAGGTGAGGACAGTAGGGTTACTCCCCTCTGGAAGCCAAAGCCTTCCCACGCTGGGGAAAAAACCTGGAGAGTCCTAGCTTCAAATTCAGGACTAGCTGTGCAGTCTCTGGCAATAGCAACGATAGCCACGGTAGTTAACTGAACACCTTATACCGGCCAGGTCCTAAAAGTACTCAGTACGCATAATCTCACTGAAATCTTTAACAGTCCTTGAAATGGATATTGTCATCCCCATTTTACACAAAAGGAAACTGTTATTTAAAGGTTAACACCCTCCCTTACAGTAACAGTTGGCTGGAGAGCTCATTCTGTCCATACAAGCCTAGCAAGTCACTGAGCCTCTCATTCTGCCTCTTCTATCGAAGTGCAGATAATCGCCACTGTGCTGCTTGTTGAAAGAACTGGAAATACATAAAAGCATCTAATGATGCCTCATATATAGTGGGTGGCCTTTTATTAACTCCTACCTTGCCTCCTTTCCCTCTCCCTAAACTGCACCTCTGCTTTCTGCGTCCTTTAAGGCACTAGTATCCCTAGTGCCTAGAACAGTGCCCAGCATAGTAGAGATTCAACACATAGAAGAATGAAGTAATCCAACATCTTTCTCTTGTCACTCCAGTCCCTGAAACCTTTCTCTTTGGCTGCCATCACCCAATAAATAGGATTGCATCTCATGATCAAAAGGGCCATTTGGTCCAAACACCTGTCCAGTGTTTGAATCTCCTCCACATCATCTCTGCTACCTCTACTTGGACATGTCAAGTGTTAGGGAACACACTGTCTTTTGAGGCAGCTTCATGCTGTCTCAAAAAGGGCCCTATGGGTCATACAAAACAATTCTAATTCCATTCCATAGTTAGATCTAATGGCCCAGTCCCCTTTCTGGACCAAACAACTTTCAGATAACCTAGTCTGGTGGTTCTCAACCTTTTCCTACTCCTGACACATCAGGGGGATACTTAGACTCCCATCAGTAACCATGGCTGGCCACGGCAGTGATAGGAATAGAAAGATGCCTGCTTCTCCCCCAAATTGTTAAGCTCTTCCTGGGGTATACCGTTAGGAACCCCCTGCAAGATGATCCTGTTAATCCCAGATTCTGCCTTACAGTGTTGTGAGCTATTGGTGTACAAGTGGGGACCCTGTTTTCTAAGTAGGTATCCTGTTGGTCCAATCTGCCAACAGCAGCTGTATCTCTGCTCTGGGCTATCCCAGAGGAAAGACTGAAGGGCTGCTGTAGGGGTTTCAACCCAGGAACCTCCTCTGAACTGAAGCTCTGCCTTTGCAGTTTTGAGGTGATACCATGAAGAGCTTTTTCAGCTCTAACATACATCCTCCATTGTTCAGGATGGCAATAATAAACTTTGAGCTGGTGCTGGCTGCTTACACAATCCCCCTTCATCCTGACAATGACCTGCATCTCAGTCAACCTTGTGTCCTTAGATCTTGCATGATGCCTGGACTATGGAGGGTGTTTGGTGAACAACCCTCTGAGTCCAATAGGGATGACTCCTTTGACTCCTGGGTCTTTGACTCTAGGTTTTAAAAATTAAACTTACCTTCCATATGTTTATTTTAAATAAATATTAATATGCAATTAAATTTATACCATACCTCACAAATATCATTAATATTTATCCTTTATTAAACAGCTTACAAGAAAAAAAAAAACCTTCCCATAGGTTGTCACCAGCTGCAAACTCCGAAGATAAGCCAGAAACTCAAGGCCTTCTGTGACCTGGCCCCTGATCACCCCTCCAGACATATGTCTCACCACATGTCTCACCATATGTTCCTCCTTGGGAAAGGCAAGGGAGGAAGGTAATTTAGTTATTGTACCAGACTTCGTGTTAAAACACCAGGTTCAAGTCTGAACTCACAGGAAGTAGCAGTGAAACTCTGGACAAGTGATTGAACTTCTGGTTTTCTTATTGTAAAACAGACAACTCCTGCTTATTGCACAGGGTCAAACAAGACAATTCATGGCAGGGATCAAACAAGATAGCCTGTTAGCACATTTTGTGAGCAATTAAGCACTATATGAGAGTAAGTGGTCCCAGCCTGGGCCTTCTTGCGTCTGCCTTGTTTGTAACATTTCTGCACCTTGAGGCCTTGTTCCTTCTTTCTCACTATTCACTCATTTACTCACTCCTAGATTAATTAATCCAACACATATTAACTGAGGGCCCACTGTGTGCTGGCCCAAGAGATACAGAGGTGATTACAATCTAACCTGTTCACAGAACACAGGATCTTGTCAGGGAAAATGGTTGCAAATTGAATAACCACACAAACAGAAGTAAAACTGCAGCTGTGACTCCAGCTTAGGAGTGGGTCCACAGGGCTCCCAGAAGCTATAATGCGGCATTCAGCACTTAAATTACCTCCAAGGCCAAGTTCAAAGTCTGTTCTCTCCAGGAAGCCTTTTCTAACAATGCTGCCCCAGAGATCTGTACCCCCTGCCCCACCCCCAACTTCAGTTAACTTATCTATGTAGTTCATTTAATCATATCCAGTCAGGCCTTGTTACTTTGTTTTCAAGTGTGCCTGGTTTTTATGATTTCACTGCCTTCTGAGTAGGGAATGCCTGGCACACTTTTTCTTAAATCCCACAGTACCAAGTAGAAGACTGGACCCCCTGTGCTCAAGGCCCTGTGTCAGGGACTGTCGTAGGAAGGAAGGAAGGAGGGAAGGAAGGAAGGAAGGAAGGACGGAAGGGATACCCTTCCTGAAAGTGAGCTCCAGGGGAGACAGGAAGCTGGCAAAGGCCATCTCCGTATCCCTTCTTCCACGATTGAGCCCACTAGCCCAGTTCCTCAGAGGATAAAAACTCTCGCCCTTAGGACAGCCAGGCTGTATGCAGTATGATCTTTCTTCAACAAAAATTTCATAACTCTTCCCCAGTGAAAAATCCTTCAGTGGTTCTAGAGTCTTCAGGATAATGCCCAAACTCCTCCACATGGCATCCATATCCATTCATGGTCTGACTCCCAGCTGCCTCTCCAGTCTCAGCTTCCAAAATGCTTCCCACCCTATAAGCATTCTCACTGTGGTTCCTCAAAAGCACCCAACTCTCAGGCAGCTGGACTTTCATACCTCCTGCCTAGGATGTCCACCCCAGTTTGTCTGCTTCTTCTACAAAAATTCAGCTTAGCCATGTTTTCCTCCAGGACCACTTTCCCCAGGTTAAGGGTCCCCCCTGCTCCAGACTCCTGCTACATCCTGTGGTCCCCGCTCTCTCCTGCACTGTGCTGTAACTATCAGTCTGTATACCTACCAAATGTGCAGTGAACCCAGGGCAGGGACTGTGTTGTTTCCTACCTGATTCTCTAGTTCCTGTCATAGAGCCTGACGTGTCGTGAGTGCTCCAAGGTGTTGGCTAAATGAATCATGAAGGCAACCTGGCTCACGCCTTTCTAGGCCCACCAGAAGAAAGTGATCTGCTGGGTGGACAGCAAGGGCCTTGATCTGGGATGGACATCATGAGAAAAGTTTTCTTTGATCATCAGTAGTAACGCTGACTTCCTGGGAGGTGAAATAATTTATTGGGTACTGACTGTCCCAGACACATTATTAAGTGTTCTGTGTGCACTGACTCATTTTACAGATGAGGACACTGAGACTCAGAAAAGTTGTGACTTGCCTAAGGTCACTCACTAAGTCAGAGGCAGAGCCAAGCTTAGAACCCAAAGAGTCAGACACTGGAGCCTGATTTGTTAACCACTATATTCTACTGTCTCCAGTAACAACCGGGAAGGGATAATGGAGGTATCTATACTAGGAGTAAATTCTAGAATCTGCGGAGCTTCACAGGCACATCCCTCAGCCACCCTCTGGGCCCTGCTGTACCTCATTACCCTAGTATAATGCTCCTGCCAGATGGGTGAGTAGGAAGAGCCAGCAGAGCTAGATGGGGAAATCCTGCTATTTTAGTGTGTTGAGGTGCCCAGAAAGCTGGGAATGTTACCTCGGAAAAAAGAAGAATTTTAGGGAACCAGATATTAACTGAAAAATAAGTAACCACTATCTAGGACATGGCATTGTATGTTTCTCCGTAACTCCACAAGGCAGAACTTGGCCAACGTTCCATCAATGAGAGCTGTCTGAAAGTGGAAGGCTCTCTGTTATGGGGGAGTAGGGAGGAACAGATATGAGAACTCTTGGAACCCTAAGATTAACACCCATAGACACAATTTAGGAAACTCAATGTGGTACTGCTTTGGGTGATCACCCTGTACCAATATGACTATCAACTCAAAAGTAAGCTTAGGCATCAAATTCACGTGGCAATATTCAGTCATCAAATGGTAGTTTAAAGAGTGTTACATATACTCAATTTCTTTTTAAAAACATAAAAATTTAAATTTTATTATAGAGAAATCTCGGATCCTACAAAATCTAAACGAGGATTCTAACTTGGATTCCAGAACTTTGGATTTGTACTGACATTCTGAGCTTGGTCATGACAGTCACATTGCCTGCCTACCTCCCAGAAAGGCTCTCCACTGAGCAAAAACTGCTCAGTTTGCAGTAAAATACAATGGGGAGTGTCTTACTTAAGCTGTGAACTGCAAGAATGGCAGGGTCCACACACATCAGCACCACCATTCTCTATAACCACTCTTCATGGGTCATGTTTCATTAGACTTCATTCAACCTCTGTGAATCAATGAGAAAAGAAAATGTAGGGTTGGGAATTAGAATACCAGAAGTGGTTTCTGGTCCATAGTCTGCAGTTAGGTATCACTGTGATACATAAATATATTCTTTTTTAACAAGCACGAGTTTCAAGTCCCCTTCCCTATCTACCCCACAAAGTCACATAAGCTACAATAGATAAAACACAGAAAAGTTAAATCCATCTAACACATGTAAGGCTTTATTATTACCTCTGACCTCCTCCTCTTGCCTGCACTGCATATAAGGCATCATGCTGACAGCAGTCTTGGCTCTGGAGAGATGAGTGTGGGTGACAGCTCTCAGCCTGAGCAGGTGTCTTTGCCTTCCAAAGTCAAACATAAATGATTGGGGATTATCTGCTGCTTTGTATTGTATTTACTTCTGCTCTTGCCACGATACAAAAACCAAGAGTTGACTATATTTAGTTGTCTTTTATTTGTTTTGTTTCCGTGAGTCAGATGGGAACTATTTCTTCCCACTCTATTCCTCTTCCCATGTTGAGAGTTTCCCCAAAGCAAAGATTATTTCCCTTTTTGGCCATCGGAACTCTCTGATGATAAGAATTTGTCCTTCCCTCAAACCTACCACAACGCAACCTGAATGGGAAATCTCTAGAACAGAAACCTTGTCTTTGGGCTCTGCCTCAAGACCCAGGTGCCAATACTCAATAACAGGGGTGAGACCCAAGGGGCTGCAGCATTCAGTCAAGGCTGAAAATACACTGACACGTCAAAATTACCTTCTAATAACTGATTTCCTTCGGGATATGTATCAGACTATGGGATTTTTTGTGGTGATAAAGAATTCAGAGGACCTAAGAGTAGTTAGATCCAGATATGTATACTGATTTTGCCACTTACTAGCTACGTGACTGGGCGATTTACCAACCAATCTGGGCCACATCTCTTTGTGGAAAACGGGAATAGCTCTTACATTCTGGGCCTGTTGAGAGGATTAAATTAGGTGTTCTAAAACCCTTAACACAGAGCCTGGCATATAAGTGCTCATTCAAGAGTAATTGTGGAGGGCTGCTGCGGAGAGTGAAAGGCATACTGTGAGCGGAAGAGCTTCGTGGAGACCAGTACCTGGCGGCCGGGCAACGGCAAGACCTGACAAAGCAGTCAGGTGTCCTTACTCAGGATCGGTGCTCGGCACACCACAATCCACCGCCTCTCAGGAGGCGTTGAGCTACCAACGACCAGGGGCCGCCAAGAGTCCCGAATGAGGAAAGGCGCCAACCTGGCTTCTTGCAGGAAGGGCTCTCCAGTGAGGCCCAAGACATTTGGGCTCCCAGTAGGTCGCACCCGCGGGCCTCAGGCCCTCTTACTTACCCGGGAATGGTTATGGTCCTTAACGGCAGCCAATAACGGCTCACCTGTGGCCCAGGCACTAATAAGGGCAGGCTGAAATCAACCCTGGATTCTGGAGCTCACGGCCGAAACCCTGAACCTGCATCAAACTACAACTCCCAGCATGCCAAGCGGCCTCCCGAATGGCTGAGCGTGGGCCTCGCCAACCTTGGGTACTTATTACCTCAGGCGCGGCCAAACTCCCAGGACTTCCGGGTAGTGCTGGCTCCCCACCCACGACAGCCTTCCCTCTTGATTTCTGGGTATTGTAGTCCACCTTGTTTCAGTTTCCCTGGTACGAGCTGCCCCTAGTTACTGCTACCTTCGCCACAAAAAACTACAAAACCCAGAATATTGCGCAAGTTTCCCTCGTCCAATAGGAACGCCCCATGTAGGTAGGCGCGGAGGCCGGCTCTAGCAACTCAAGATGGCGGACGACAGTGAGACAGCAGTGAAGCCGCCGGCACCTCCGCTGCCGCAGATGATGGAAGGGAACGGAAACGGCCACGAACACTGCAGCGATTGCGAGAACGAGGAGGACAACAGCTACAACCGGGGGTAACGAGATCCTCGGAATCCAATTCCCGTCCAGTCCCGCACAACCTGGGTTTCTGGGGTGCGGGGAAGTCACCGGGAGCTTAGTGTAACCCCACCCCCCTGTTCTTATTGGCTGAGACATTGGAATCCTGCCTGGCGATTGGTTGTTGTCTTTGTCATTTATCAGGGGTGTTTAGTATAGTAAGGCCCAGAGACATTCAATACTTTTATTATGTGAAAGTTCTGTGTAATGTTCCACTCGTGTGCCTCAGGCGCGTCCGGGGAAAAGAGCATGTTGGACGATGGTCTTCGATAGCACAACACGGGTTAATTCAACAGTACAGTTCAAAGGGAACGTTACAGAGGTGTTGTGTGAACAACGTGATTAGCAGTAAACGAATAATAAAAACCTGGGAATGGTTATGGAGTTCACCTTCAATGAGGAAATTTATCAGGCTATACCAACCATAATTATGTTGTAAAATATTACTACCAGAGAATCCTAAGATATAAATTCCCCTTATAAACCCTGCGTAATTACTGTGTGATGTATATGGTGTCCGTTGCTCCAAATAATCCATGTTTCCCGAACGATGTATAATTAGATCTTACAGTATCTTTGCTCTGTTAATTTGCGAAATAGCCTCGAGCTTCAAGAAATTGAGTGATGGTGCTTCCTGGGACAGTGTTTGAAAGTGTTTTAATACTGTGTGTCCTGTACTTTATAGAGAATTGTCTACTGTTCTTCGAGTCGAAGAAATGCGTCAAGCCTTTGAGTGTTGAGCTTCCAAATTTAGTTTTCACTCTTGTAAGCCACACCCTGTCATTTCTCTTTCTCCATGTTGTTAACAGTGGCTGGCACTGATGCTCACTCTCCCTGTCTATATTTACATATATGTTTTCTAATGAAGAGTCATGAGAGGCTGTTTTGGGTATATAACTTTGACCGAGTCTGTAGTAGTCTGATTTTCATAGCCATCCTGTCATTTGCAGTATTGGTTGGTGGTAGTCCTGGAGGTAAATGTAGAAGGTTGAGATCTTTGGATAAACTTTAAAGAGAAATGTTGCTACGCTGAGGCCATGGGAGAACAAAGGATTATTTAAGTGGTTTATAATCTGTGATAAATGCTTAGGTTAAAGGATCCAGCTTTATGTTCTTCAGTTGGCGTTAAAAGTCACAAGAATGTAGAGGAAAAAGGAAGCTTGTCAAATTTGGGTTTTGTAAGACTATTCTTTTGCACATAGATCTAATGTAGTAAAAGCCTTGTTTTGAAGTTTGAGATTCCTGAGAAAGAGCTGAAAAAGAGGAAGTAGGAACAGGAAGGAGGGAAAGTGTAGCCCTTCTGAGTCGAGATCCCAATCATATGTGAGAGCTGTTGAATTGAATTCGAAATTCATTTCAGAAGTGAAAGTGTGGTTTCTTCCTTTGCCCTGTGTGTAGTTGCTTTTATTTTTCATTGCTAAGCTGTTGCCCTGACCTGTGTCTGTAGCTCTTTAATTGGCTTTTTTCCCTATAATCTATGAATCACTTTACAAAACTGTTTGGCAGAAAATTCTGTTTTGTTTATAGTACAACAAAGTGGTAATCTGAAAAGAAAAAAAAAACCTTTGGAGGTGTTTTGTTGTTATTGCTGTACATGGTTGTGGTCTGGGTGAACAAATTCAGTTTATTAGCATCCTGAATCTAGACATCTGTATAAATGAGGTTGGAGGTAGCAGGTGAAAAACAGAGGACCCAGCCTGGAAGACACAGTCTAGTTCTGGCTCTTAGAATCTGGGATAGAGTCAACATTTTCCCATTAATTATCAGAGGAAGTGGTTTGGGGAAGAAGCTGTGTGGCACACTGGAAAAAGCATAGACTTTGGAATCATTCAAACATGAGTTCAAAGCCTAGTTCTGACACTTAATAGTCCTGTGACCTTGGGAAAGTTACTTAACCCCCAGTTGTAGAGATTAAATGAGATAACATCTGGAACGCAGCCTTCCCTCTTCTAATCTTCAAAGCTCCTTCCCCCAGCTTTCCCTCACCCTCTTGTCACTTACTGTATTTTTTGTAGCTTTTATCATCATAATAGTTAAATAACAGTCCCTGTCTCACCTGACTATGAGGTGTCTCAGAACAGGGATCCTGTCTTTGAGATGCCTGGCAATTAGTGGGTGTTAATGAGTATTTGCTGGATGAATGAATGACAGATTAGTTGAAGTTTGTGGCCCAATCTCAATTTTGAAGTTTCATTTCTCCTCACTGAGGGGAGGGATGTAAGATTTTTCTTACATATACATTTTTCTTCCCCAAAGAATTCTCACTGTAAGCCTTACTACAGTTTTTGTGAAATACTCGCAGAAATCAAGGATCCTCTAACTTGACATGGAGGTTTTCCACTGTTTTTTGGCTTCTTGAAGTTTTTCTTGTCTTTAGTCAATATTATATAGAATGTTTTCAAAAGTGATATAAGAATTGAAGAGGAATATCTCCTTTTGATGCTAACAATTCTAAAAGGTGATATTCAATAAAAGTTAACGATAGTTCAAACTAACCCTGGTTCTCTTGAGCCTTTCTTTCAGGATGGGCTCAGTGCTTTACACTAATGAAGTGAGCTATGTTCATGCACTGGAATAATAAGGAAAGCAGTTAGGCTACTTTATTTTGCCCCTTTGTGTATAAGTTTAGTTCTTGATTTTTCTAGTCATATGTTTCTTCTATAATTAAATAAACATTTGGTGAGTATAAATTTCATATATACATATATGTGCCCATGCATACATATAAGATATATGTGTGTGTACATAAATGTGTCAGTCTGCAGTTTTTCTGTCTGCTGGTTTTTTTTTTTAAATCCACTCAACAGAGGGGGAAAAAAGAGGGTAGCATTTTCCTCTCAGCTACTTGCCTGGCATAAGTTACCCTAAGCAACCGAGAGACTAAGATCATCTTTCTGCTGCATCCCCCTGCAGGTTGTGATTCATCTAAATGCTTTAATTTGCTTGCTTGTTTTTAGTGAGAGACTTATCACTAAAGAACAAACCTTATCAGCTGGCAGTAGATTTTAATTGTGGGTTAACAAAGTTATCTGGGTGTTTTGGAACAGGAAAGAACATTTAGACTGTTCTCTTCCTAGGATTCTTTTGGAATTTATTTTGCAGTGTCATCAATATCATTAAGATACTGGTAAGCCATGGATCAAGAATACTTGATAATGGATGTCTGTTTCCCATTCTGCAATCTTACTCCATAGGGACAGGTTCAGATGGGTTCTTACAAGTTTCCCTCACTTCCTAATCATGAGATATTATCCCTTATGAAGAAACTTAAGAGAAAAGAAAGGTCTTTTTGGAAGGATTCCATAAAGCTAATCTTACTTGCTTTTGTTTTATTCTTCAGATTCTCCCAGAGTGGTTCTTCCTGCATTTATTTGATGGCTTATAGCTCTTAGAAGGAAGAAATCTTTTTAGTTCCTTTTTCTTAATTTCTCCCTTCAGCCTTTGGTTTTTCAAAACTAGATCAAAGCAGAAATGAAAAGAGAAACCTCATCACTGATATCAAATAAGTGTTCTAATTTTATTTCCCAATTAAGTGGCAATTTAAAAAGAAACTAATCAAGAGCTTCTTCAAAGAGAAGAGACTGGAAAGCAGAAGAAATGAAAAGTAAATGAGAGCCTATTTCAGGGAGACTGCTGCTCATGGCAGAACAGTTTTGCTGATTTTTCACATTGTTTAACTCATGTGCTCACTCTAAAATTTCCCAGCTTTACTAAGTCTACCATTAACCCTTCTCCTGCAGATTCCATAGTCTTTGGGATCATAAATCTAGTAACTGTAGGAAGATGCTTCTCTAACTCTTCCTCTTTAACCTTTCATCTGAAACCTCTGCCCTGCAAGCCTCTCTTCCAATTTCCCAAGAATGGTGCTCTTGTGATTGTTGCCTTTAAGGCACACAAAACATGATGTTCTCCATTGAGAGCACCAAAGCAGAAATGAAACTAATATTGTTAGGGTCAGAACTTGCCTCAGAATGTTTTCTACTGCTGCTGACTTTGAGAAGCAGCTGAGGAGGCATCACTATTGTAAAGTGTTCAGTCACTGTTATCTGTTGCTAAATTATTTTATGCTAAGTGCTGTGCTAAACCCTTTACATAGATTAGCTCATGTAGACTTCGCTTATAAAGACTAATTTTGCTTTTGTAATGAGGCTTGGGATTCCATTTCCACCTCTCCCTTTGACGCCCTGGAGGATCCATTCTGAACTGGCTGGATTTCTTTTTCCTGCTGCACTGACTTCTTCATCTGACTCCACAGCAGTTTGGATCCATTCATTGACCCATGGACTTTCCCAAGCTAGGGAGCCAGTTGGTGATGGAGGTGGGTGGCCCCTTTAAACTCTCCTTGATAGACCGATATGTTTTTCAGAGTTTATTCCAGTGTGTGAAATTGCTGCCCCTATCAAGTCACTGCTCAGAAAATTATTGAAAACGGTCTCTGAACAGCATTTGAGTTGACCTTGGAGTTGTCAGGTTGCAGTCTAGCTCACCAAACCAACCCAGAGTATGTAGAATGTACATCTCTGTCTCATTCCCATTTTAAACCACCAAGTATATCAGAGCTTTTGTGACCCCCTACAGAGTAGTTTTCCTCCATGATGGGAATTGGCTTGTTCACCCTAAAAACTCTGGCTAACTGTCCCAGGAAAGGCAGAAGGTGGCAGTAAAAGCAATCTTTTGTAATCCCTTCCCACAACCTGCTGTTCTTTTCACAGGCCTCCTGGGTACCTTGATGGCAGTAGTAAAGTGTTTTTATTTTTACTGTCACTTAGGATTCACAAGTAGTTTTTTTTAATAAGAATAACTGATTAGTGGGAGTTTGCAGGGTTTGGGATTGCATTAGGTGATCCTGCAGTCACAGCAGTACAGACGATCAGCTGCTGATACTGGTTCAGGCCATGTGGTTTCCACCTGGGTACCCTTGTAAATGCCCCTGCATTCACCTGGCTTTGGGCCTCCTGAGTACTGTACCAATAGGATTGCTGGTGAACATATCATACCTAAATAGATTTGCAGAAGGGTTTCCTGATGTCTGCAAGTGGAATCAAAAAGGTATTCGAGGCTACAATTTATTCAGTAAGTTTCTCTGGAAATGCTGAATTTCAGCCTAATGAATTAACTTCTAGTTTTTAGGAGTGGAAAGCTAGTAGCTGAAAGTTACAAATTTTATTTTCTAAACTCTTTTCCTTTGATATCATAATCAAAACTAATTTCATGGTCTGCATTTAAGAAGTAGTTACAGTGGAGCTTCTTAAACTTTTACAGGAATAGAACAGGTCCTAAGGAGGGAGAAGACAACTAATAAGAAAGTGGATGATTTAATAAGAAATTTGATAATTTAGAGTCTCAAACAGTGGCTCAACTCCTTTCATAGAGCAGTAACACAGCTGTCCTATGGAAACATTGCTAAAGATATTTTGCTGACCCTCTTTTGGGCTCTAGCTATTCCAGTTTTTATTTTAGTCGATTATGCCAGGAAGGCATCAGTCAAGCACATACTTGTTGAACTCTCAACTGTGTGCTCAGCACAACTAGAGGTGCTGTGGAAAACAGCTGTGTAAGATGTGGTCCCTAGACTCAGGAAATGTTTAATCTCATTGGGAAGCCAGGAGGCAACAGATTGTTATAAATTGTTAAATCAAGTGGGAGATCGTCATCTTAAACAGACATCAGTTGGAATGAGAGCTAGAGTAGTCAGAGGAGGCTTTCTGGATAAAACGTGGCTTAACTCTCCTCATTGTCTTTAATATCTGCCCCTCTGATACACAAAAATTTGTTTTAGGGCTCTTGAAGATTCTCAGATAAACTCTTCCAGGGAATGAGACTTCAGTGTTTGGGGAGGATTATGGGCCAAGTCGTTGGATTGGTGACTGCTCCCTGGATACTGGTTGGTTAGTTGATGATCAGTTTGCCTCATGTCTCTGGACCTTGGTTTCCTCTTCTGTAAACAATGGGTTAAGCCAGATGGCCCTGAGATTCCTTCCAGCTCTGGTGGTTTAGCTCCAGCAGTAACAGCTTTCTGTTTCTCAGCCACCGTGGATTTTGTCCTGGATGGGGTGGAGGGGAGGCCTGCACTGCTTGTGTCTAGAAGTTTGCTGCTCCTGCCGTTCCTCTCTCAGTTCCCCTTCCCTCCCACTGCGTGCACACCCTGGTGCTGCATTCTGTTTCTAGAAATAAGTGCTGGGGTTCGTTTTCCATCTCCTCACGCAGCTCTGACTTTATACCAGAGCATCCATAGGATTCCTTGTATGTTTGAACTTAAGAGTATTTTGGCCTTCATTTAAAAATGACATTTCTTCATTGCTTTTCTTCCCTGTTCCTGGATCTGTCATTCTCTTTCATCTCGTATTCACTAGGTTGGTCATTAATGACTTGAGTTGATCTACTTAATTTTTTTAAATTTTACTTTAGAATGTAAATTTCAAAAAATTTTTATGTGAACTCCCATCTCCCTTTCCATTGCAGGCATCCTGCTCCCCACTGATGAAAAAAAACCAACAAGTATCACTAAGTCTCTTCTTATTATTTTGGAACCAAATGAACCAACATTAGACTTTGATTTGCTGTATTCCAGTGTTCTGGCCAATCTCTTTGAAGTATGTCAAGGTTTAAAGAGATCTTTATCTCTTTAATCTGGCAGATTTAAAGAGATCTCTGAGAGATTTCTGTTTTGATTTACAGAATCTCAGCATGCCCTGGGATAGCTACTGGTGGGTGTGGATTCCAGGTCCCTTTAAAAATGAAACCATATTCTTTTGAGGAGTACTAGCCTGGCTTTCATGGGGTCCTCTGGTTTGATTCTTCCCAAATCCAAACTGAGGACCATCCTTCTGTGAAATGGTATTGGCTTTCCAAGATGCTTCTTGAAGACCTATTCTCTAGGCCTCTGAGCTTGATTTCTTCTGGATAATTAAAATTATTATAATCACCTAAAGAGCTAACCCTAGTGGGCTCCTTGGAAGTCTCGTCTCTCGAGTCAGTTGTCTTCCTGTTTGGGTTGTTGACTATAAAGCCACTGAGCTCATAATGTTCTCATGGATTTAGCTCAGTACCTGGTAGCTTGGTGACAGTGACTTTTAAACTTCCCTTTGTTCTTCAGGTGTCTCTGTATGCTTGATGTACAAGTTGAGACAGGATTGTTGCTAAGCAGCTGCATGTGCAAATTCAGGCCAACACAAGGAAAATGAAATTAGCTCTCTGGTTTTAGTTTGGGTTTTAGAGTTTGCCAGCCCTTTGTATTAATAATGCATAAAACAGAACAAGAGTTCATCCCAAGGCCCTTTTACAAAAATGGGGTCCATGAAGAGATGGCTGCACAGAAGCACCTCTACTGAGTAGCAAGGGCAAAGGCAGGAAGGGATTTTTTTTAGTGATTTTGCCTGCTTGTAAAGATTCTACAGTTGGAGGAAGTAATTTCTTTGCTTTTCCTTATGTGAAATGATGTTTAGTAAGTATCCAGTTGGTTCATATGCAGCAGTTTTTCACATTGACCTTTTTGATTCTTTTTTCCATAAAAACAATTCTTACGGTGATTCATATACAGCGACCAGATAATTCATTTCATAGCTGAAGTGAATAAGGACTTATACATTGTATCAGCAGTGGGTCGCTGCTTTGTCTCCTAACGTCAACCAGCTTTTAAACCTTACAATGCTGCATACAATCCTGAGACTGAAGTGAGACTATCTCTGGAATAAGAAAACCATATTGAGTTGTCATAGGCTGCAAACAGGCCTGTGCATTATAACAAAATTGAGATAATAAGAGGAAAATGTTATCTTCAGTCTATAAATGGCTTTATGGTTCCTGTTCTTTGCCATGGCCTTGAGGGGTTTTGCTGAGCATCTGGTTTTAAGGAGTTCACCTTATTCCCCCTCTGCATGTTATCAGTCTTCCTTCCGTGTTATGCTTTCTGTGTCTCATTTATATAATGCCTAGGAGGTGCACTTGCATCTGGACTTCTCGACGTTATGCTTGAACTGATCTCCAAGCCTTTACTTGATCTCCCTGACTTCAGTCTTTCTGCATCAGGGGCCTGATGTGAGGCCTGGCCTAGGTGCAGGCACAGTTATTCCAGAGCAGGGGAGGTAAGGTTGATCAGCCAGATGGGAACTGAGTGTGATGGGCTGAAGGGAAAGTTGGGCTCAATACCTTGTAGGATAAGAAACTGCTGTTACTGTAGGCTTTTAAGCATGGGAAGGACACGTGGAAAGCCATTTTCACAGAGGTGAGTCCCACTGCTGTGTAGACTTTAGGATGTAGAGTTTAGGAGAAGTTGTGAAGTCAGGGAGATCCAGGAAAGGCTGGAGATAGCTTTAGTCTGAGTGTAAGGTCATGAAGTCTGGATGCTAATATTTCTGCCAGGACTGAGAAGAGAGAAGTCTGAAGACATTCTACGACAGGAAATGGCAGCATGTTGTCACTGATTGCCTTCTCCCTACCACGTGCTGTGAGATGACAATATTTGTAATAACTCCAGGGCATTTTAAGACCATGAAGCCTTGTGAATTACAAAATAAAGCTTAAATGGTATTTACCATAATGGTACTGAAAATGTACTTTATACTATTTTAATTCTTTGAAAATTGGTTTCGACTATACAGCTAAAACAATAACCTGCACTTAGCTGATCCTGCAGATTATGGTTCACTGTACCCTTGGGTTGGACTCCTAATTTTGATGGAAGATTTAATTTAATGGAAGATTTCCAGGGATAATGGCAGAAGGGATAATCCATTATTACTCCCAGTCCAACAATGCCCAGACCAGTTTAGACGTGGCAGAAACCAACTGTGACAGTAATTAGGGAAGCAAGCTGCAAGGTGAATCTTAAAATATGTGAATAAAATAAAGGAAACCCACAGTCAAAGCTATTACCCTAAAATGAACGAGATTTGGGAGAAAACAATTGAGAACAAACGATTGAAAAGTGTTAGAGAAATACAGTATATGATTTGGGTCTCAATAGTGCTATTGAGAGACAATACAAAAAATGATAATAAAAGCTTGCAGGAAACTGTTAAATGTGTCTAAGAAACTGTTTTTGCTGCAGTCACTGGGTGTGTCATGCAGAGGGAAAGTGGCAAGAGGAAATCCCTGTTAATGTGGTTCACACGCACACACATTTCATGTAAATCTCTTCTTCGCGAGAGTGGCTGGGTGTTCATTGTTGTTTTCCCAAGATTCCTGGTGCTGGGTTTTGCCTGTAGTGATTACCCAGCCTGAACCAACTGACAGTTGTCCTCCATCCTACAGGCCTGATTTGGGCATTTCTCATGATTAACTGTTTTGGACACAGATCACAGCAACATTAAACTGCCTTTTTGCTGTTCCTCCCTTTCCAGTACTGTCTTGTGCTTTAGGGGCAACTCATAAAACCTAATGCATTGGGAGGGTGGGAGTGGAGATGAGGAAAAGTTTCCAAAAGGACCACTTTGGGCTGTCATCCTTTTAAATTCTGGGCTTTAAGGAAGTGTTGGGGGTATTAATGCCCCATTAACAATTATCATGTGCCTTTGGTGCCAGCAACCTGGCAATCTAAAGAAAATAAACCACATAAAATAAAAGCAAGAACAGAAAAGTTTCTTCCAAACAAATAGAACATTCCTTGCACATCGCTCCCTTTCTGGGCACTGGTGGCAGTGGAGAGGAGAGCTGTGTCTGCTAGTGTCCTCTGAATGCCCCTTCTGGGGCCTGGATTCTCTAGTCAGCTTCTGAAGCCAACAGTCTTGATTAAGGAAGGTCTGGCTCCACAGAAAGCTCTTTGTCAGTGTAGCTCAAAACGGATGATTTTTTTAAGAACCTTGCATCAGTATTTCCTTTGTCTTACAGTGGTTTCAGTCCAGCCAACGACACTGGAGCCAAAAAGAAGAAAAAGAAACAAAAAAAGAAGAAAGAGAAAGGCAATGAGACAGACTCAGCCCAGGATCAGCCTGTGAAGGTAACAAGCGGGCTCTGTTTTCTTGTGACTGAGAGTCACTTTTTCAGATGAGAGCGTTTGGGGGTAAATGTATAGGAACAATGTAGATTGATGATCTCCACTGGTATGACTTCAAGATGGAGGCATTAGATCCCTCTGCTGCCCCCTGCTGCCCTAGACCTAGGTGACGGAACTGCTGTTGGACCTTAAAAGGGGCGGCAGGTTAGACAGTGACTCCCAGGCGTGGTGCCCCCTCAGAACTTACAGGTACACAGCTGCTGTGCTAGGTGCCACAGAGTGGTTCCTTTGTGACAGCCCCTGTTGCCTAGAGCAGTGTTCTTGGCTTTTTCTCTCTGATTCACCACCATTGTGAGAATAAAAGGCCTCTTCTTTTGAAGGCAGACCTTTTTGTGTTGCAAGCATTCTCTTGATGCCATAGTCATTATAATGAGAACTGGAGCTTCCACAGAGCTCATTTCTGAGTTCCACTGTTGAGAACCACTGGCCTTACGATCTAAGACTGACACACTGACATGAAACCCAGAAGTATGGGTACAGATTGTTTTGTTTTATAAATTAAACAACATTTAAAAACATTAAAAAACTTTATTTCAGGTGAGTGCTGTCCTCTTCAAAGTAGGCTCTGGAGGAAGTTCAAACATGGCCATAATTCCTGTTGTAGAATTGCCTCAGTTTATAAGCTTCACAAGAAATCCAGTCTCACCAGTATGCCTGCACTTTGCTTTGTGCCTGAAACGTTATGCTCCAACTTGAATTTTCTACCTTATTGAGATACGACTTCCAAGTCTTTTTTTTTAACCCCCACTATTTTCAATGAGAAAAAAGTCACACCATTGTAGACCACCATGTTGGCAAGCTAGGTTTTTTCCAGGCACTTCATTTAAATTAACCTCCAGCTTCAACTTCCCTACAAGGTAGGTGGGGAGTCTTCCCATTTTGAAGATGAGAGGAGTGTCTTTACCTGGGTGTTTCAGTCAGGAATCCTAGCCCAGGCCCTGCTTCAGCTTTAAGGATTCTTTTTTGTTTGTCTGGGGTGGGTGTTTGGATGACTCCAGGGGGATTTGTGCTCAGGCCTGTATCGAAATGGTTCTCTTTGAAATTAGAAAATCTCAACAAGACACTGTTTACATTGCCCTTCCGTTTTTCTCTTTATGAGAGTGATGCAATTCATCATACAGAATTTAGGAAAAAACAGCAAGAGGAAGAAAATTAAAATCACTCATAGTCCTACCTCCCAGGAATAAGCATTGTAAACATGCTCATTTATATTCTTTCTTTCCTTCACAAGCTAAATCAAAAAAAAAAAGAGGTAGTAAAAGTATTAAAAGAAATTATAGGTATTTATATAATCTTAAGCCTGATGTAAGATCCAGAAGTCTTAAAAGAAAAAGTGACAGATTTCAAACTTCTCTGTAGAAGTCAGAAAACAACGACTGGGCAAGTATTTGCAATACATGAATCAGTCGTTTAAAATAATGAAATAAGCAGGCTGTTCTCAAAGGAGAAATAAAGGTTCATCAATGTATGAAAAGATGGTTAAACTTACAATGAAAGAATGAAAATTCACTATTTTTTCCCCCTAGATAGGCAGAGATTAAGATTTGTTTAATGATGAGGGTCTGGAGAAACACGCTCTCATATGCTCTTCACTGGGTTATTAATTGATATTCTCATTTTAGGGAGCAAGTTGACAATGTATATAATCTCAAACATGCATCTTTTTTGACCCAGCAAGCCGCTGTTTTTAGACTTTATCCTTCAGAAGTTCATATTCAATGAGCAAAAACAGATGTCAAAGAAAGTTCACAACAGCGTTATCTGTAAAACTGAAGACCAGAATCACCGAAATGCCGATTGATAGGGGTTTGGCCAAATACTGTGGTCTGTGCATACAGAGGACTCAGTTGTTGGAATGGGCAGGTCCATGTGACCATGTGGAAAGCTGTCTAAGACACAGTGTTTAAAGAAGAGCAGTCTGTAAAATAATACTATATGGCCCAATTTTAGTTTTTGAAGGTTGCGTGTGTGTTTGGAACTTGCATGCAAAAAAAATCTGGAATTATATTTGCCTCTTCTCACCCTACCTCCCACATTACGACTGTGGGGGACAAGGATTATATTTGAGGGATGTGGTTTTTGAGTTTTTACCTTCTGTATGTATTTACATTTCTGCATTGTTTGAAGTTTTACACTGAGAATGTATTGCTTTTGCTGTCAAACATCATAAGACTAAGAAGAGGAGAAACGCTGTAGGGAACACCCACCCGTCATATTGCTTGTCATCAATCGCTCTTTCACCAGTTGTCCTACAATAGATGACTTCTGGGATTAGGACTGAGGAACCACACCCCTTCTTGAGTTGTACCCTCTTAATGCTTGGACTTGAATTCATCAAAAGTTCTTATTAACTAATGGGCCCTTTCTCTCCCCAACTTTGTCTTGTTCAGATGAACTCTTTGCCAGCAGAGAGGATCCAGGAAATACAGAAGGCCATTGAACTTTTTTCAGTGGGTCAAGGACCTGCAAAAACCATGGAGGAGGCTAGCAAGCGAAGCTACCAGTTCTGGGACACGCAGCCCGTCCCCAAACTGGGTACGTATGTGCTTTCTTCCCCAGGCAAGGGATGTGCCTTAGCCAGGCTAAGGGTTCCACGCTGAATTTGTGACGGAGGACAATAGAGTCCTGGAGTTCTTTGGTGGTTATTTTTAGAGAGTAGTCTTTAAAGTGCAGTATAGAAAAGACTATTGTTCAGGGGCCTTATCATTTCACAGTAGCACATATTGAGAACAAATAATGGTCCTTTTAATCCCTCATCATCGAATATAAATCTACAAAGAAAAACAAAGCATTGGCACATGATGAGTGGGGGTGTGTGCCCATGGGTCTGTCTTCCCACGCAGATTTTATAGACTGTCTTATTTATCTGGGCAAATGTTCAGTCTGGAGCGGGCCAAGTCCCCAGCCTCTTTCACTTGTCTCTCATACGATGCAGGCTTACTAAATGCAAAATAATGGGACATTTTGCTTAACAGTGATGGTTTAACACCTGCAGTACTATATGTAGGTTTGGTCGCCTCTTAAAAAAACTTTGATGAACTCTCAGAGGGCTGGGACAGGCAGAAAATCTAACAGGATTCCAGAAGAGACTAGACGTAGCAGAGTTAGAAATGCCTGCTGAGACCGAGCCACCGCTAGTCCTGATGGACAGCTTCAGGGGTTCCTATTGACAAGAGGTTTCTGGAGTGGTTGCATCATGATTCTGGATCCATTGATGGCCCAGTTCCTATTTTCTACATGACTAGGAAAGTAAGTATATTGGGAAAAAAAGTATGTGTTTTAACAACAAATGTTAAGTGACCTTCAGGTTGTCCATGTTACTGCTTCCCTCCAGAAACACAGTGAGACCTGACACTGTGTTTGGTGGGGAGGAGTAGGTGAGGGCAGAGGGGCAGCTGTGCTCACAGCACTCGCCTACTCCAGAGTGTGCGCCTCCCACCAGCAGGGTGGGCATTGCGTTAGAGCTTGTAGAAATGCAGAATCTCAAGACCTGCAGAATCAGAACTTATGGGGGATTTGTGTCCACTTTGAAAGTCTGAGAAGCTCTGCTCTAGAGCAGATGAAGTTTGTAGACCAGAAGTAACAGAGATGCCCCCAGGGGGTGGAAAGCAGTGTAGTGCCTGGATGGCTATGAGTGGTAAATTAGCAACAGGTACTCTTCTGGAACCCTTCCCTGACACATCCACCGTGTCTGTCGGGCTGCCCAGGTCAGCCAGGTCACAGGCCACTGGCTAAGCCCTCCAGCAGGGCTTTGGGTCACAGTAATGCTATTACCAAGGCATTAGTAGTAATGGGTCTCACTGACTACTCCCCACTGAAGGAACAGTCCAAATCAAGAGCTACACGTTCCCCACTGAGTGAAATGCATGGAGAGGCATTCTGTGGGGGCTGCCACGCATCTTGGCTGTTTTTAGATGGGGTTTTGGTTTGGTTGGATTTTTTCATTAGGAGTTTGCAAATGGGTGACTTAGCTCCGTTCTTCATAGACGTGAAACCTTCAGGTGAAGAGGCAGATTAGAATTAATGGGCCCCTGTTCTACTTCAGTCCAGTTACTCTGTGTTGTTTGCCTCAGCTTCTCCACCTGTAAATGTAGAAAGTGCTCTAGTTTTGTTCTCAGAAAGCTTCTGGAAAAGCCACCCTATTGCTCGTAAGGACCCAGATGTTCTCTGGAAGGTAGTATGAGGCTCAGTTTTATTTCTTCTGTGCCCTGTGTGGTGTGGGGCTCTGTGAAGAGTGATCACTCCAAGCATCCAGCCAGTCTGCTGTTCAGGTCCTCGGTCAGTCAAGTCCGAACAAAGGATTCCTTTGTGTCTGTGAGTCACCCCGTAGAGAGTACCATGTTACGGGCATCGGTTGGTCTGCATGGCTGAGGTGTCACCCTCTGCTTCTGAGTGCCTTAGGGTAGTGTGATTTATAGCTTCTTGCTTTAATTTTTCTCACTTAAATGGGGGCTAATAAGACTCGGGCATATCCAGTATACTGTGTTTCTGGCCCTCCACAACTAGTGGGGAGAGTTAGAATTAGATTGTATTCCACTGCAGAGGCCTAGAATTCTTCAGAACTTTAAAATCATCCTAGGTTCACCATTGAAAGGCCTCTAAATAGCCAGTGTTTTCGGCCGTATAACAGTTCTTTGTGCTCCCAAATCAACTTTTGATCCCTCTTCTCAGACCATGTTATTCTTTTTGAAAATCACTCCTTTTCCCACGCTAGTGGAGGGGTGTGAGGGGGTCCCTTTTCTTTGCCTGATTTTAGTGGGTTGGAATCTGGCCACTGTTAGATTGGTTTAAAAAGTAACTACTTTTTGGTTGCCCTGGGCCCTGAGAGAGAAGCTTCCTTTGTCCTGCTGGTTGGGCTTAAGGTCTCCCAAATCTCACATTCTTTTCTCCCAAGTCCTTCACTGTTGCACTGTGGTCTTAGTTTTGGATCTTGGATGCTGGAAGGCAGAGAGAGAATTTGAGGGTAGAGTGTGCAGAAAGAAACCCATTGAAAGTCCAGAATTTTCTTTCAAAGTTCCCGGTGTCCTCGGTTGTTTGCTGGTCGGTGATGGCCTGGAGGTCCTTGGCTGCTTTCCTGCTGTGCTCTGCAGAGCAGCCGGGGGTGCTCAAGAGCCATTAGGAGGTGGAGGGCAGGCCACTGTCCACAGAGCAGGACAGGCAGAAGCCATGGTGCTGGGCACCGGCAGGATGACAGTACAGGAGCCCTGGGCTGCTTCTCGGCTTCGCTGGCACCCTAGTCTGCAAGTCTGTTAAAAGTGGCTTCTGCTTTCTCAGTGTTTCCTCTCGCTCTGCTTTGTCATCTGTGTCTTGCAGATAGCAAACAGCCTTGCGATAACCTATGGGAGCTGGTCTGTCAAAACCTAGATGAAGACTTATCCATTTGAACATTGTATAAAAGTTCACCCAGTAATGTCACTGGACAAGCACTTATTGAGTGCTCTTTGTAAAATTCAGACCTCAAGGTGTCATTCCTCCCTCTGTACCCCTTAAAAATCTGTTAAGGATGCCCCACAGCCCTAGGATAAAGTCCAGCCTCTGTAGCTCGCAGGGCCCTCCACTGTAGGCCCCAGCTCTCCTCTCCAGCCTCGTCTCCTGGTTCCTAGTTCCCCCTCCATCTCCAGGCCTTGACATATGCTGTCGCCTCAGTGTGCCCATCCTCCCTGCCACCCAGCCCACCCTGTCTGCCTAATTCCTAATTTTCCTTGGGGTCACATCTTTAGATATTTCTTCAGAGAGGTCGTCCCTGACTCGTCTGTCCCTGCCCCCCTCCCCCCACAGCTCCTGTAGCACTGCTGCATCATTGTTGTGGGCTCTCATCATGCTGGGTGGCAGGTGCCTGCTTGCTTGTCTACCTGGTGCCCATGATGATGAGGACCTGCGTCCATTTCATTCACCAGCTCCTGCCCTAGAGCTGGCGCATTCTAGGATTCCTTGACCACGTGGTGAAGGTGCAAATGGCAATGCTTGGTGTCTGCGGGACCTAGTAACCAGCCTAAATGAAGTGATTTGGCCTTGAGATTATTGTAATACAGTGGGGAAGACCACCAGTATCCTGTCCATGGAAATCATTTAGGAAAAAAAAAAAGGTTCTGAAGTTTTAAAATGCCTTTTGGGAAGGATATAAATTCAAAACAAGGTAGGGAATACTGACTAGCACCTGGACAAGACTAGAGGAGAAATCCTTGGTACTTTCCAAGGGTCTGGCCCTTGGCTTGGTAGGCTCAAAAAATTATATGTGACAGGGAATTAAAAGTGGACTGACTTATATTAAACTAATTCACAAGGGCTACTTATGAATAAATCAAAAGGCCAGTTTCTAAACTAGGGAAGAAAAATATAACTTTTCCCCCAAGCAAACCTGTTTGGGAGCCAATTTATAAATAGGATTTAACCGGAATTTTCCCTGCTGTGTGTCCCCATTGTTGCCTGTTCTTTCTAATTTGTGACCTTTAGCATGTTAGTAATGACTCATTTCTTGACTATTTCCCCAAAAGATGGTACATCTTGTGGTGCCAGGGACCTTGTCTTTTCCCACCTCTATCCTAGCGCATGAGGTCTGGTTGGTGTTGAGTAAATGTGCTGGATGAGAGTTAGATGGTCAGTCCTGGTGGAATTGTCCTTGTCTCATGGCTGGATGCATTCATTTCCACTGCACCTGCCCCCACAGATCCATCACTGAGAGGGTCTAGAGCTTTCTGTTCCATGTTAGAATGGTGTGTTGGGGCCAGGAGTCTGAAAGTCGGTAAAAACATGAACTGAGTGCCTAAAACATACAGGGCCTTGTGCTGGGAGCCATGTACTGAGTGGGTCCCTTGTAAAGACTTTTTAAAATGTACTAAATGTTGTATTCTTCCACATTGTGAACATGAATGAGCTCTGAATTATAGACACCACCAGAGCCAAATAATCCCAGGGGCTGAAATTAAGTGGCTCATTCATCCAAGTTTATCAGATGAGTCTGATTTGGCTGTGGTTAGGAATCAGGGCTATCTAAGCACGCCCCAGCACTCCCACACACTCTGCAGGAGAAGGGTGTCTGTCCCGGGTGGGGGTATTGTGTCCAAGGATAGCTTCCCAGCAGCGTGGTGCAGTCTCAGTGATTCAGCCTAAAGGCGCTCGCAGGACTCTGTAAACACCGAGGGCCTGAGTTGGCGGCAGCAGTTGACTGGCCCACATTGCTGAGAGCTGAGGCTGGCAGGGCCGGGAGTGAGCCTGGCGCCTCAGTGCCATCATCTAGTTCAGGAACGGGCCCGGTACATTGTTGTTGCTGTTGACACAAAAGCAGCCTTGTTGCAACTCCTTATAAATCCATTCAGGTCGATGGACCTGGGCCAGGGCCATGACAGGACTCTCTGCACCAACCAGGAGGCAGGAAGCCAAATTAGTCAAGAGAAATGTTTGTCATTCAGTAACTGAAGGGAGATTTAAAAGAATGTCCAAGAAACCAATCACCTTGGATCCCAGGGATTGTTCTGAAGTTTTGCCGTGAATTGGCCCTCGGTCAGGGGCGAAGGATCACTGGAGAGATGGTCTGCAGTTGCCAAGAACAGAGTGTTCTTCAGACGGAGGACTCCTAGGGACAGGAAGAATTTGCTGAGGTCGCTTTTTGAGCTGAGCCCCTTCCCTCCCCTAGGAGGCAGAGGGTGAGGCTCATGGCTGTGCTCTTCTTCCAGGAGAAGTTGTGAACACACACGGTCCCGTGGAGCCTGACAAAGACAACATCCGCCAGGAGCCCTACACCCTGCCCCAGGGCTTCACCTGGGACGCCTTGGACCTGGGGGACCGTGGTGTGGTGAGTAGGCCTGGACAGGCCACGAGTGTGGACTGGGCGCTGCTTTCACAGAGAGCCCTGCAGTCATTCTGAGACCGCTTCACTCAAGCCTTCTTCAAGGATCTGTTCAATGCTGAGCCAAGCAGGTCTGAGCAGACCCTCTGGGGCCTGCCCCCAACTCCACATAAACAGCGCTTGGCTTCTCTGGCAGGTTGAGAGTTAACCATGCAGCTCCCCAAAGAGGAAATCTTTTCTTCATGCCCTCAGTTTTCTTGCTCATCCATTCATTCAGTCCCTTGTCTTAGCAAAGGGGTGGCTGGTTAGCTGGAAGACGTTCTTGGTCTGCTACTTCACGTGCTTAAGTCTCCACTCTCCCCCTTGGTGGCTCAGTTTCCCATTACAGCTCTTTGTTCCAAACAGTCCCTTCTGCACCTAGATGGAAAAGGTTTGTGAGATTAAACATAGTTTCTGGTAGTTTGCCTTGTCCTGAAAAGCTTGGAGCCCCAGGGTATTGGAGTTGGTCCCCCGTCTGGCAGAATACCTCTAAGGCAGCTCCTCATGTCTCTGCAGCTGAAAGAACTATACACCCTTCTGAATGAGAATTATGTGGAAGATGATGACAACATGTTCCGATTTGATTATTCCCCAGAATTTCTTTTGTGGTGAGTTTTAAGGCTTTCTCATGATTTGGGAGTCAGACATAGAGCAGAACCACTACAGGGTACCAGATTTTTCATTCCTGCTAAGAGCCAACCTTTGAATGGCAAATTAATATGTAATTTTTGAGTTCCTGGGTCTGAAGGAGATATACTTCCAGTGGAGCTTAGAATCAAAACCTATTTAAGACAGAGTGGGTGAGGGAGACCTTTGTGGCATTGGTACCCAGAAGGAAAGATCGTTTATTATATGGTGACTGTATGTAAGAAGGGAAGAAGGGATGAGACTAAGATTTAAAAGAAGAGGGTTGTTTTCTGCCCGTTTCCTGCACACTCTCAGTTTTATGAAAATGGCTTTGCCTGGCTGAGCCATCCGTCCTCCTGGGCCTCATTGGATATCCAGGAAGGTAGAGGCATGAGGCTGGCACAGAGGGGGTCTGCCTGAAAGGGGACGGAAAGGAAGAATGGTCAAGCGGGAAGAGGGGAGGTGATGGTGCCCAGTGGGAGATGGAGACCAGCGCTCCAGGGGCTGTACAGTCGGGACCCACTGGACTTGGAGCCGAGGAGGCCAGTGCCCTGGCTCAGGCTGTCAGAGTGAGTGAGCACAGTGAATTGGATCCAGTGGGAAATCCTCAGTATGACAGCCCTGGATTGGGTGAGTAGGTAGGCCGAGTGGACTGAGCAGGAAGAAAGGGCTATGGCTTGATCCCATTGGTATCCAGGAGGGTTTGGCCCTGCCGAGAATTAAGCTGTTAACCTCTTGGGAGGGGGGGCACAAGGAGGTTAGAACCAGACTCTCTGTGAGACTTAGTCTGCCCAGCCTGCTGGCAGGCAGCACCGCAGCCACAGCCCCATCTCTCTTCCAGGGCTCTCCGGCCGCCTGGCTGGCTCCCCCAGTGGCACTGTGGGGTTCGAGTGGTCTCAAGTCGGAAACTGGTTGGGTTCATCAGCGCCATCCCAGCAAATATACATATCTATGACACGTAAGCACCAGCCCCCCCGTGTCCCCCCTGTCCCCCCCATCCCGTCCCCACCATCCTGCTCAGTCTGGGAAGGTGGAAAAAAATATGCATACCTTCCATAAGAGAAAGAGGGAAGTTGCCATGAAGAGAGGGAACTTGGGCACTGGGAATAGAAATTCATAATTGGAACTGCTATCTGGCTCTGAACTGTTGCTTGAATTGAATTGGGCTGGAAGGGTCAGCCTGAAGGCCGGTGTGCTACCCAAATGGGAGCTCAGTGTTTGCCCTCGCACCAGTCACGTGTTGATGCACTCGAGCTGCTTCAGACATGAGCTACTGTGACTCACATCCAGAATCATGAGGCCTTCAAGCTCTGCTCTTCATTTTCTCTGGAAATGTCAGAACCTTCTATCAGCGCCTTCTGGGCTTTGAAGCTGTGGATTCTTGTGGGAGTCAGAACCTTGAAATCCTAAAATCACCCTTGACTTATTCTGTGGAGTTCCCTGACAGCTAGAGGTGGGACTCCGCCCGCCTACTGTTGGGGCTTCATCAGGGAGATGCTGGTGGTGCCTTAAATAATGGAGTTTGCTCGAGTCCCACTTACCTTTGGAAGTAGGGTCTCTGTTGAGAAAAGGGCGAGCTCTATGGCTGGTTCAGCAGAGCATAGCAGCGGGAGGGAGTCCTGGTCCTGACTGCTGAGTGCAGGTGGTGGCAGAACACCCGCCTGTGCTGAAGTCCCCGGTCCCTACGGGAAGGGGGCACTACATGCTTGAAAGGGTTACCTTGCCTGTTAAAAAGCCTGTCCCTGGGTTTTTCCCTCCCTCTTCAGAGAAAAGAAGATGGTGGAGATCAACTTCCTCTGTGTTCACAAGAAGCTTCGCTCCAAAAGGGTGGCTCCAGTCCTGATCCGTGAGATAACCCGGAGGGTTCACCTGGAGGGCATCTTCCAAGCTGTTTACACTGCCGGGGTAGTATTACCAAAGCCTGTTGGCACCTGCAGGTAAAAGTCTCTTCTTTGCAAGGTCCTTGAAATAGTGATGTGCCCGCTGTAGTTGAGGAGCTTGTGTCACTGTGAGTCACAGCTCTGCCCCTCAGCTTAGTGTGTGCCCAAGAGCATCTCACTGCTCTGGTATCTCATAAGATGGGTGGTGGGGCCCACAGGAGCCAGGTGGGGAGCGGAGGGGAGAGAAGGGGGAGGCAGGGGGAACTGGCAGCCTGCTCAGTGCCTGTCCTGCCAAAAGGAGTTAGACTTTCTCAGCTCCCCCTGATTCCTGCCGTTTGGAAATGGCGGGCGTCAATCTGCTGGGGTTTTGTTTTTCTTTTGATTGATTGATTGATTGATTGGCGGGAAGAGTAATTAGGTTTATTTAATTTTGGAGGCGGTACTGGGGATTGAACCCAGGACCTTGTGTATGCTGTATGCTAAGCATGCGCTCTACCACTTGAGCTATGCCCTCCCCCCGTTTTTGTTTTTAAAGATGAGCCCAAATCTGGATTTTTATTGTAAACGTCCTAAAGTTTTATTTTGTTTTGAATATTGTGTGGGCCAAAGAGAACATGTCTGATCCCTGTGTGAACTAAGCACAGTGTCTGCCTTTGAAAGTTCTTTGAAACAATTGAACACTTTCTGCCTTAAAATCTTCGAAAATAAAAACACCAGACAAATGCAGAAGAGGCGGGAGGCAGAGGCTGAATACTCAGAGCTCTAACTAGAAGTCTTTGCCATTGACTTGATTCCAGGAGGGAGTATTGCTCTTCCCAGACAACTACTATAACAGAGGAGTGGCTTTTGAACTTGAGAAAGAAAATACAGGAAGAGCTGTGGCAGCTCTACACTTAACTGGGGGAGGGTGGTGAGTAGGGGCCATGTCCTTAGCTCAAGTGGGGCCTGGTGGGTCTCTCACGCCACCTGCTGGCCATCGTGAGATCTCCATGCCCTCTTAGTGAGACTTGCCAGAATCCTCTGAGGACAGGACATTTATGTCCCTACAGGTACTGGCATCGATCCCTAAACCCACGGAAGCTGATTGAAGTGAAGTTCTCCCACCTGAGCAGAAATATGACCATGCAACGCACCATGAAGCTCTACCGACTGCCAGAGGCCAGTGTGCTCTGGGGCACGGGGCAGGGGCAGGAGGGAGGCCGAGCAGGGCCTGGACCTCAGCAGGAAAGGAGCAGGACTTAGGGTGGGGAGAGGGTTCTCTTCTCAGAAAAGCAACCCAACCCATGGTTTCCGGATTCCTAGCCTTTCCGTTTCTGTCGTTTTGTTATCTTTAGCAAGGGCTTTGTTTTGGTTGGACTTTCTCTGTTCTCCTGCACCTGCACCTGGGCTGGCTTCTCTGCCATCTATTGGCAGACTCAGAAAACACCTATTCTCTGTAATCATAGCCTGAGTGAAACATGATGGAAAGAAGCACCCGCTCGCTGAACAGCAGCACATTCTAGAACCCAGTGTAAATGAGCCAGTGCTGCTCCTCTGCTGAGTCAAGTGGAGGAGGGACAACCTGAGCTTGTGAGGGAAGCTCAGGTTTCCAGTCCCAGTCCTTCTGCCCAGATTTTGCCACTGAAGGGCCAACCTGGAACGAGCTGGTTTTCTGTTCTGGGCCCTGGTTTGCCTAGTTTGCTAATGAGACACATGCTCCTTGTCCTTCTTTTGTGCCTGGCTTCAGGATCCTAATGGATCTTAAAATCCCTTCTTTTCCCTCAGAGCTCTTCCAGGCAGTGTCAGCATGGTTATTGAGTGCCTGCTAATCAGAGGGCTGCCCACCTGGACCCATTAGCCACCAAACTGGATTAATCACCCTTGAATCGAGCTAATCCACCATTGGATTGGGGTCATTAGTGTCTTCTTTGGAGAGACCGCTGCAGCACAGTTAGACACTGCCCCCAAAAACCGGACTGGGGAGCCATGATGGGTGTCGTCTTCTTTCTGTAATCGTGACAGATTTGCCCTGCATTCTAGGCAGGCAGAGAGCGTTCTTAAAGTGGTGTAGCAGCCGGAAGAATGTCTCTGGATCTCCCTGCCTGTGGGTGAGAACCCCAGCATGGCAGCTTTTTCAGTCCAGGGTTTGAGGTGTCATTGTGGGCACTGCCATGTAGAAACAAGGTCAGTAAGTGTTCCCTAGAGACATCAGGATTGGCAGGGGATTTTGGCAGCTAGAGGTCCTAGCACTGCAGTTGTAAAAGCAGTTCTATACTGGGAAGCAGTTTTATCAGGCAGTGACTGACGTATATAAACTGTTACTGTTTTCAGATTTGGCTGACCCGCCTTTGTGTATTAAGCCTTTAGGGATGTTCCCTCAGCCCCAATATTTACTCCAGAGCATCACATGGCTTCATTCCACTGAAGTAATTTCTAAGAAAAAGCAGCTATGGGGTGGGATTCTGGTTTGAGATTAAATCCTGGAAGTTTGGTTCTTTTCTTCTGAATTTAACTTGCAGCATTGTCCTGCTGGGACACTACTGGTGTAGCGGTGTCCAAGTAGGGAGGCAGGGCAGGCATCCAGTGTAGACTCTGCTGGGCCCTGGGGTTCAGTGATGCCTGTGGCCAGGAGTCTGTCTGTGAAGTGCTCTGAGTCTACAGGAGAGAGAGCAGGGTAGGAAGAGATGAGCTCCAGCTCAGTGGAAGAAGGTTGTGAAGCCCAGAGGAGGGGAGAGAAGAAAGGCTTTGCTGAGGCCCAGGCGTAGCACTAGGCTGGGCCTACCCCAGCACATCCATGGGGTAGTTAGGTTTCTCCACCTCAGCACCATTGACATTTTGTGTCGGGTAATTCTTCATCATGGAGACCGTCCTGTGCACTGTAGGATGTTTGGCAGCATCACTGGCTTCTACCCACTAGATGCCAGTAGCACTCCTGCCCCTACTTGTGACAACCAAAATGTCTCCGAATATTGTCAGATGTTCCTTGGGTTCCCCCTTCAGGAACCACTGGGCTAGAGGACAGAAGATCACAGCCAAAACAGCCCACTGGTCCAGAGGATGGAAGGTTTTGTGCTCTGTGTTAGGGAGTTTGGAACAGGGTGGGATGTGATGGATTGGGTTTTCTTAGGAAGATAGCCTGGGCCCTGTGGATGAGAGATTGATGTAACAGCCTTTGTCAAGGATGACAGCCTTAACCACGAGGGAAAGGGCCAAAGACACTGAAGAGGAAGGCCATGTGCCTGAGTGGATATGGACAGTGGGTGAGAGGGAGTTGCCTAGGATGACCAAGGATTCTCTCTTTAGGGCCTGGGTGGTGAGATCCAGCGTCAGGGTAGGAAGGGAAACAGTGTGAGGTTTTTGGTTCCTGTAGGACTTGAAAAGGAACCAAGACACTCACGGTCAGCAGATCTGAAGCTCTTTGGTTTCTTTCTTCCAGACTCCCAAAACAGCTGGGCTTCGACCAATGGAAAAAAAGGACATTCCAGTAGTGCACCAGCTCCTCACCCGGTACCTGAAGCAGTTTCACCTCACGCCAGTCATGAGCCAGGAGGAGGTGGAACACTGGTTCTACCCCCAGGAGAATATCATTGATACTTTTGTGGTGGAGGTGAGTGGGGAAGGGTGTTCTGGGCCTGTGACCCCTTCACAGGGTCTAGCTTTCCCAGGCTGGTGGACGGGAGTGTTGGCACCTTAGACTTCTTGGCCATCCCTGCTTGGTCCACATTAAAGACTCGAAGTCATAGCTTGCATTGGCCAAAACGAGATCTTCTGGACCTGGCATGAGCCCTTTCTCGCCCCCTCCCCCATCCCCATTGGTGACCCAGAGTAGAGAGGCCTGAGCCCATCTTAGTCAGATAAGCCTCCCATCCCCTGCCTGTCCCAGCTTGGTCTAGTGCTGGCCAGGTGTCTGGGGGCACATGAGCCACAAGAAGCCCCTGGCGACGCAGGCAGGGAAAGAGCGCACGGCAGGTTCAGCCCACAGGCCAGCCTGGATTTTCCTCCTGGCTCTGGCCTCAAGTACCCTTGGCCAATGTGTCTCCTCCTCCCTGCGTATCCTGTTTCAGTTTCCACCCATTCATCTGGCGGGGCAGCTGCCTGAGGGTGGTGCAGGGCAGTAGAAAATATTCTGTTCCCAGACTGCAGGATCCCTGTGCATGTGTGACGCTGCCTTCTTCCACTGTCTTCCCTTCAGAATGCAAACGGTGAGGTGACCGATTTCCTGAGCTTTTATACACTTCCCTCCACCATCATGAACCATCCAACCCACAAGAGTCTAAAGGCTGCTTATTCTTTTTACAACGTTCACACCCAGACCCCTCTTCTAGACCTCATGAGCGACGCCCTTGTTCTCGCCAAAATGGTGAGGAGTGGACCGGAGGGAAGGGGCAGCAGGGCGGTGGTGAGCATGGCTAGCGGGTAGGCGCCCACGGGCTGGGGGCCTCGAGGCCTCCTCGCCCTCCTGCTCCACTCAGAGAGCAGCTGGCAGTTTTCAGCCAGCTGAAAGTAGGAGGGAACTAGGAGCGTCCACCTGAGGTGAAGGCATCGAACTCCTTCAGTGAGTTTCATTCTCATGGGAGGTGCTGCCAAGGAGCCTAAATAGCCAGGCCTGTGTGGGGAGTAGAGGGGTTCTCCTCCCGCCTTCCACAGCGTGGGAATGGGGAACTTGGTGTCTGTTGTGGTGAGTCACTGGAGCGGCTGACTGTAGAGCAGGGGGGAGGGCCCAGCTTCTCTTTCACTGAGAGGTCGCCGGTCAGTCTTGCACCCAGGGCTCTGCCCGCACGCAGCCCAGCCCACTGTGGGCCGGCCAAACAGTGGATAGTCTGGTCTCTGCCCCGGGAGAGCTTCTGATTGGGTTGGTGAGACTGAGGAAGGAAGTGTCTGTAGCAATCTCAGAGCAGTGTATCAGATGCTATGAAGTCCCGGGTACATAACCAGAGGCCTGCGAGTTGGGGTGTCGGGAAGCGAGGGAGCAGTGCAAACAGCGAGTGGCTCGTAGGAGTCAGCTTCTTAGAGGAAAGAGTTCAGGGCTTGGTCCCCAGAGAGGACTGTGGGAATTACTAGAATGTTTCAGGTAGGCGTAGCAAGGAACAATGGGAACTGTGGTCTGGACGCCAAGGAGGGGCCAGGTCGGGTGGCGCTCAGAGGGTCATGAGACCGGCCACCAGAGGGGTCCACTGGCTGGAGCCTGGATGTAAACGGAAGCAGCAGGAGTTTCTGAAGGAAGATTGGGGCTGTCTGCGGGACGATTTTGATGGGATAGAAAAGGGCAGGAAGGTGAGGCAGCTTTCACCTGCCTTCACCTGTCCTTGTTCCTCCCTACCACCGTGCAGAAAGGGTTTGACGTGTTCAATGCACTGGATCTCATGGAGAACAAAACCTTCCTGGAGAAGCTCAAGTTCGGCATAGGGGATGGCAACTTACAGTATTATCTTTACAATTGGAAGTGCCCCAGCATGGGAGCGGAGAAGGTATGTATGTACGTGCTGTTTGCAGCCTCCCACCGGGGGTCCCTTGCAGCCAGGCAGCTGGGCTGGCCTGGGTCAGGGAGCTGGTGTCTCCAACAGAAACGGGGCCTTAGGCCTGGGAGCTAGCATCAGTCTGGGCCCTTGGAAAATCCCCTCCCTCTGGTGGCCTGACCTGCAGGGTCAGTGGTCCCCTTGCAGCTGATGGCATGAGGGTGGCTGAGGGCACTGGCCCCAGAGCCGCAAAGAAGCAGGAAGGTTGTCTCCGGTTTCTCTTCCCACCAGGTGAGCCGCCTCATCTGGCTGGGGCAGGGCTTCAGACCGTCTCAGAACACTGTGCAAGTTGAATGCCCATGGTTAGCCAGGAAGGGACAGTCGCTAAGGATCTGAGGGGTTTTTCCTCTGCTGGGCTGCTGCCCTCATCCCAGTGTAACCTTTTTCTCTGCCAGCTCCAAAGGACAGCTCAGGGCCATGGGTGTAGTCAGCATTTGCAGGATAACTGACAGATAAGCTGGAAGGAGGCCCTGTGACCAGGGCCCTCAGGATACTGACAGCTGCTTTCCTTGAAGGATCTGATAGATGTATAAAGCATCTCCCAGAGGTTGAGTGAGAGCCCCGCGCTCTCCATGAGTCTGTTCATATGGTGCGGTGGCACTCTGCAGGCTCTGTCATTGGAACTTCAGGTCTGGGCAGGGAAGTGGGACAGTCTCTGGACAACTGTCAGCTCAACTTTGCCTCTCCCCCTTGGCTCTCCTAGGTTGGGCTGGTGTTACAGTAACCAATTGCCAGTGAGATTCTGGATAAAGCCACTGAGAATTCAAAGCAGGAAATGGAACCCCACTTGGTCCAATTTTTACAAACGGGAGAATCCCTGGCAAAGGAAACAGAACTGAACCGGCTTTACCAAACCGCCACTGAACTTGACAATTGTATTGCAATGGCGTAGGCTGCGTGATGTCACCTCTGGCCGTGTCTCTGGTCTCCCTGTTTTCCAATTAATCACATCGTTATGCAGCCGTGATCAAGGGAATGTAACTGCTGAAAACTAGCTCGTGATTGGCATATTATGGAGTTAACGGGTGAATAATAAAAGTATATATATATATTATATATATATATATAAATATTTTAAATATCTTTCATGTTCCAAATGTACAAGGATGTTTGATCTCTGATGAAAAACTGAATCCAGATCATTTTTCAAATTAGAACCTAAGGACAGTGCCAGACAAACACATATTGGTACAGTGAACTGTTTCTTCTGAAAGCAGGCATTGACTTTTCTCTGGGGAGCCGGAGAAAGAGGATGTGGGAAATCTTGTCCAGTTCCCTTCTGAATCAGCTGGAATGATTGGCTTCGAGAAGGCAGGGTGAGACGGTGGGGCTGTGCTGAACTTTGGGGAGAGCTCAGCTCTCATGGAACAGCGGGTGATGTCCTAGCTGGGGCTGACCCGACTCGGGGGCTTTCTTACCGGGGCCAGGCCTCTTCTGTATTCTGAACCTGGGCAGCGGGGATGATCTGTGGTAGCAGATTTCATGAATCAAGGCCCTTCTCCCAGTCCTCTTGGCCTGCTCCCTGTAGGAAGTCATCCTGCCAACTGATTTTTAAATCAGGACTCTTTAGCCAGCTGTTGCCAACCTTATAGGGATAAGTCCCCTGGGAGATTGTATTTTTCCACTGTCTAGGGTGACTGGCAGTTTGAAGGGGACCTTTGACCTCCTTGTAGCATCTAGGACCTGGTGGAGACCACATCAGTGCAAGCTCTGCTTAGCTCGTCTCAGAGCAAAGAGCCAGCACCCTGATGCCCCCAGGGTGGTTGGGCAAGGATGGTGAGGGGCCACACCCAGACCTCCAGCCACCAGCCACCAGCCCCCGGCCTGTGCCTTCCAACCCATTAGCCATCTCTTGTGCTCTTTTCCAAGAGCATAGCCTGCAAATAGCGGCAAGGAGTAGTAGATTTCCTGTCGCCATTGTCTGAGTCTGATTTTCTCTGATGATGTTTTGTGGATTTTTGTGGTGGTGGTGGTGATAGTTACTGATGCTGCCAGTTTCCCCCAAAATAATGGAGCCTCCGGTCACGTGGCTGTCCATGTGGGCATTCCTCAGTTGTACTCTGCTAAGTGGCTTGGGGAGGTTTGGGCTGTGGAATTGTCAGCAGCCCACATCCAGGCTTGTATGTAACTTTTGCTTTAGGAGGAAGTGATGGGTGGATGGTGTGATGTGTGGGCCAGGGGGTTTCCTGGCTGCTTGTAGAGGGAAGGAAGCCTTAGCCGGCAGGCCAGGCTCAGTCTGGTCCCACTAACTGAAGCCATGCTCTGCGGGCCAAAAGGCCTGTGTTGCAGGCTATAGGTTTTGGTGAGGTTTGCCAGAGGCTAATTTTGCAGTCTCCCAGAGCTGCAGGAAATTGTATACTTGGGATGGGGCTGTGCTGCCCCTGCCCCTGCCCCTGCAGGGATGCTGCCCACTTTCTGCAGACTGCTGCCAGAGCCAGCAACACCACTGTATTGGATTTTCATCAGAGGCCTCGAGGGTCCTCCCTTCTTCCCGTCGTCCCTGTGCTGCAAACTGTAGGCACCGATGGTGGCTGACCTTTGACTCCTGGACTCCAAGATACCCAGACCAAAGAAGCTGCTGTTCTTAGCAAGATGTGCACTGCATTCTGCAGATGGCAGGAGTCGGAGAGGCAAGGCTTGCCTGTACAGCCTCACAGACATCAGACAGCTCCCCAAGGCCCAGAGTAGCCTCCCTGTGCAGGCTTCTAAGGGTATCAAAGAACAAAGTGCCCGACTCTCCTACCTTGGGTAGGATCTGGAACTTGGAAAGGCTCCCTGTCATAGGCTTGGTCAGCTCTGGGCCCAGGCCCAGCCTGAGCTGCCTCTGAGATTTGAGGTGTACAACAGCCCTGGGAGTGAGCTTTGCCTTGGTTGGCCCCAGTCATGGAATGGAAACTGAGGCCTGTGTTTGCTCCGGAAGAAACAGATCTCCTGGAGAGGCCCCAGTGTCTTCCTCAAAACTCATGCCTGCTTCTTGGAGTCTGCTGTTGTCTTATGGTGGGGACCCTGCTGGCCATTAGCACCGCCACCCAGGTCTGCAGGAGTTGGTTTGGTGGCTGCTGTTAGTCTTTTTGTCCCAACGGTCCCTGAGTTCTTCACTCAACCCCTTCCAGGACTTCAGGTCAGAGAGCTCGGAGAGAACCACTGCTTGGGGTTGGGGGCCTCCCCACAAGGAGCCTTGACTGGCTTGAACCAAACCAGGGAAGGACCCCGGGGCCTCCAAGCTCATTAGCCGGGACCTGCCTCAGGCAGCCGCTGTTGGAGGACCTCCTGGGCGTGGCCCTCACCCTCTGCTGCCAGTACTTACTGGCGCTGGGCTTTCAGACTCTGTGTTCCAGATGTTTGCCTCCTGCCTTTGGATTAACTCTGCATTTGACCCGAGACCCTGTGGCACATTCCCACGGCCTCCTGTCTCTGTAGGGAGAGAGCTGGGTAGAAAGGAGGCCCCAGCTCTGGACTGAGGTCTACATAAGGGCTTGTTTCCCCAATGCACGCCTACTTCTGAAGACACTGACATCTGCTTTGAAGGCCAGCCCACACCAAGCCACTTTAACACCTAGGATTATGGAAAATTTGAAGCCTTGCCTGCAACTCCATTCTAACTGCCGTCGCTTACTTGCTGGCTCACTAAAGCCCAGGGTGGATGTCCCCGTGGTCTTGAAATATTTGCCCAAAGATGATCAGCATTTAACCAACCTAAGGGCTGGCCCATAGGCCTGGATAGCTTCATAGAGTTGCAGCCTGGGAGATGGTGACTGCCAGGCTGGCGAGCGAGGGCAGGGGCGTATCTCTGGCCAGTGCCTCCTCACCCAATCCTTTTTGTGGCCTGGCCTACCTGCCCCAGAACCAAAGGAGACCCAGGGCTTCAGTTTACTACTGTAAAGTGAAGGCAGACCTGCAAACACTGTCCCTAGGGAGGCTGTGGAGGAACTTTTCATTCCTGACAATTCAGTTCAGAAATACTGACTGACTGCCAGCAGGGCGTCACATCCGGGAACAGGGAAGGGGGAAGCTTCACCTTTCTGTCTTGGCTTTTCTCCGGGTTTCGGGAGGGGCATCCATTTCTGGTGTGGGGGAAGAAATGCCAAATGCATTGTTGTTCTGCTTGGTACATCTCACTTGTTTCTAATAAAAGAAGCAGCTGAACAAAACCCTCCTGCCCTCTTGGTATTCCTCTGGTCAGCAGGTGGCAGTGGAACCTATGGAGTCCGCAGGCCCTCGTGACCACAGCAGCGGGCAGCTTCTGAATACCTTCTTTTGGTAAGGCTGCCCTTCGAGGTCCAGCTTGGCTCTTCTCCCTGAACCTCTCCCACCCGCCAGTGAGAAGCCGGTATGACTCAGGTTTGCTCCTTGTAAGAGGAGCAGCTGGGCTCTGGGCCAGCACTGGGGATCTTGGCAGCGCAGCCCTCTCGGTTCTGGGTCAGCAGTGGCGCCTCCCACTCACCTAGAGGCCATATCTCCCCTTGAGGGCCAGAGGCCAGGTGGTTCTATCAAGCCACCAGGGTGCTGTTCAATGCTGCGGACCCCCAGGTCCTGCTGCACACACTGAGCCAGCCCTCAAGAAGGGCCTGAGGAAATGCATCCAGACTTACCAACCCCCTTCTCTTCCTTTCAACCTTTTCATCCATTTCCCCCCATGGCTGGTGCCTCCAAGCCCGTTTCCAGGGAACCTTGGCCCCATGCTGCAGCCTGAGAGGACACAGGACTGCCCCTGGGATCATCTGCGAGGCCTTTTCCTGACCCTCTTAAACCCACAAATTGTGTCTTCCCCACCCCAGACCAGCTCACTCCAGCTCCTGAAAGCGTGGGCCTTAGTTCTTGCCCTTAGATTTGGGCTGGGAGAACACAGCCCTGTGGGTGGTCTCCACCCAGGGCCTCCCTGAATTACCAGCTGCCTTCCTTCTTTGCCCCCACCTCCCATATTCAGTTCCTGTTAACTTCCCTGTCTTAATGACTCTCGCTTTTTCAAGGCTATCTTCCCAGCTTTGGTGATCTTCTGGCATTAAACCCCTTCTCTTGCTACACCACACGGGAGAAGAGAAGTAGAATGTTCCCCTGACACAGGCCCTCAGCCCAGGCCTGACCAGACCTGGCCCTGCGGGGGCCAGGCGGCTCTTAATTGTCCTTCATACTCTTAACGCTGGACTCGGCCTCACCGTACCTCCCACCATGGGGCTGCAGTTTGGCCCCTGTGTACTGGGTACCCAGACTGCCCAGCCCAGTGGTTCACACAGTTCTGTACAGGGGGACTTCTGGGCCCCTTTCAGACACGAATTCATCAAAACCAAATGCCACTCTCCGCATAAACTGAGAGCACGGTGAGGCTGTCACTTCCTGCATCAGGTCATGGGGTTGCAAGAAGGTGGAGGCAGCCGAACCCTCCCAGGCCCTGGGTTCTCTGGGGGCCAATTCCAGCCCCCATCCCCTGCCCCAGGCCACCCTCTGGGAACTGCTGCCAAGCTCTGCCCTTGGTACTGTTGCCTGAAGGAACCCCAGATGCCAGGGCTCATAATTAATCCCAGAAAGTCACTTTTCTGACAGGCTTTCTCTGGATCCTGTCATCTGGTGTCTGGACACGCTCTCCCAGCATCTCTGGGGGACCTGGTGCAGCCTGCTGATTTCCAGGCCTTGGTCTAAAGACTGGTTGGCTGTAGAAGGAGAGCCCCAGGTCCCTGGGGTTTGTCTACTCAGCAGACAGGGGCTTCAAACCCAGCTGAGCCTGGAAAGCTGGGCTCTCTATCTGAAGTCCCTCAGAGTCCTGTCCCCACCCCTTTTGGGGCAGAAGCCCACCCACCTGCTCTCTACTCATCCAAAGCCCCTGGTGTGTGTGGGGGTGGGGTGAGGCTTGTGATTTGGTGTCCTCAGTCTTGTGATACTGGCAGCGGCTTTGAGCCAAGAGCAGGAGTCAAGGCTATTTCGAGCTGTGGCATCTCCTCCAGCACCCCTGGCTGTCTTAGACAAACAGCCCTGCTGTGGGAAGGGTCCCAAGGGACACTCCCCCTGCCCCTTCCCTCCTTATAGGGTATGGCCTCAGAGGTGCTGGGGCGGGTGGCAAAGGTAAAATAAACTTGCTTCTTTATTTTTAAAATAGTCTTTTTCTACTGTCCTCTCCAGGGGTCTTCTATGACACAAGTTATAAAACCGACTTCTGGGTTTCCCCAGGACCCCTGCCGCCCTCTCCCTGCTTGCTTTAACAAGGGAAGGGAGCACAGGTTCACGAGCTGGAGGGAGGAGCCCAGGAAACCCTGGAGGGGGAAGGATGGTCTTAGTGGGTGGCTAATGCCTGGAGACAGGGGCAAGGGGCCGGCTGGACTCCTTGCGGGAAGGAGGCTGGGATGGCCCCACTGTGGAGCAGAGAGTGGCTAAGGACTCACGTGTCCTGCTCCCCAAGTCTCCTGGCAGCAACAGGCCTGGTTCTTCACAAGCCATGACGTGACAATGGGTGGGCTGAGGCCCCAGGTTGCTGGGGCCATCTCAAGGCCTAGGGAGGAGATCAACTGCCTATTCTTCAGGAGGGGCCGAGGCAGCCCTCAGCACCCAGTAGAGACCAGAGCCTGGCTTGCAGGCTGAGTGGGCAGGCTGGAGGGGGTGGCTCTCCCATCACCCCTCCACTCCAGGGGAGGAGAGGGCCTCCACCACAGAATGCATACTGGCACCTGTGGAACCTGAGGTGGGTCAGCCGTGTCCTCAGAAGCGCTGGATACAGATGTGGACAAAGAGCGTGGCTGGTGACAATGAGGCCCCATCCTTGGAAAGCAGGTGGATGTGGCGGAACCCTGTGGGGTGGGTAGCCAGGCATCAGCTTCTCTACCTATGGCCCTGCGGGGCCGGGCATGTGGGGGCATAAACCACATCCCACCCCCAGGGGCTGGGCCCCAGCTCAGGGTGGGCAGGCTACTGGAGGAAATGGGCGGCACACGTGAACAGGGTCTTGGAGGCCCAGCCCCCATCCCTTTCCACCCCCACCAACCTTGCTTCAGGCTGTTGAAAGGCAGCGTAAACTGGCCCACAAAGTCATTGGGGGAGGTGGAATCATAATCTTCTACCACGAACCGCACCAGCACCAGCTCCGGAGCCCGCAACTGGAACTGCAGGGTCTGCCCCCAGCGGGGGTTGAAGCCTAGGGCGCAGGCCTGGCAGTCAAGAGCTCGCGGGGCAGCCTGCCCTGCACCTCCCTCCCTTCTCTGCTGTCTGTCCCCAGCCCTCCGCCCCCACCGCCCCCCTGCACCAGCAGGGTCCCCACCATTGTTGAGCACGTAGTTGGTCTCCTTGCGAGCACAGTCGGCGGGCACCCCGTGGATCTCAATGCGCACCAGCGGGTCCACGATGGAGTTTGGCTTCTCAGCGTTCAGCTTAGGCAGCTGCTGTGCAGTCAGCACCTGCAGGGGATGAAGGGAAGCCTCAGCTTGGCCCCGTCAGAGAAGGAGGCCCCTGGCCCTCACACCAACCCTCCCACACAAGACTCAGAAGTGAACTTTCCTCACACGAGTCGTCCCCAGGCCTCTGCAGAACTAGCTCTGACCCTGGGTAGGGTGTGTTCCAGACTGCTGACCTGGATGGTGAGGGTGGTTCTGGGGGGTCCAGGACTCTCGGGGTCAAAGGTTGTGTCGGGCTGCCGCAGACAGGCGGGTTTCAGGACGTAGCCACACTGCCCGTTGATGAGGAAGCGCCCAGCATTGAGGTCCATCTCATAACCTGGCGTCTGGAAGTTCAGGGCCACTGTGGACACAGCGGGGGCAGGGCAGGGGCTCTTAGTGGTCCCCTCTTCACTGCTCAGTTTCAGGGGTCTGACTGACCTCCCCCCAGACAGACCTTATAGAGAGAGGACCCAGGGTCCCACTGCCTGGGTAGTGCTGCCCCACCCCCACCATGGCGGGGGGGGGGGGTACAGCACCACACAGGGAACCCAGCCCCCTTAAGGCTGGAGGGAGGGGCTGGGCCTGGGCCTGGGCCAGAGCCAGGGCCCAAGGAAGCCAGAGGTTTCCCCGCCTATCCACAAGGGGACTATACTCCTCTCCCTTGGCGATGCTCAGCATCCCTCCAGAGCCCACCCTCGTCAGTGCTGACTTAGTGGGGACTGCTAGGGGTGTGTGTGCGTGTGTGTGTCTGTGTGTTGGGGATACATGGGAGTGGAAGTTGTTAATTTCCACCTTCATTAAAAAAATGTGATATTTTATAATATCAACAAACAAGCCTGATTTGTGTTTCCCCACTTACCTTGCTGACAATTTTTTTAATGTTATTATCAACAAAACCCATTTTCCCCACCTTCTGGAAAGCTGTGTGGCTCCATCAAGAGGCCACCCCTGCGAAGCAGCCCCCTGCCCACTCCCTGCTTCTGCTGCCCCCACTCACCCAGCTGACAGCCCGAGTTCCACATCTCCTGGGGGCTGTAGTTGGCAGAGTTCATCCGCAGCCCCAGCGGGTAGACTCGGGTCAGTTGTTGGGCATTGTGCCTGACGAAGCTGTTCCCTGGGGGAGAGTAGGGGCAGGACTGTGATGGCCCCTGGGGACAGTGTCCCTCAGCCGGTGCCAGAGCCTGTCACCTCCCCTCCCCTACCTCCAGGGACATGCTGGGAACAGGCTAAACACACATCCCCAGCTCCCCCTACCCCCAATCCTCCTCTCTGATGAGGGGGTGAGGGTCCTCACAAAGAGTCTGCTGAAGTCCAGAGAGGGGCAGGGACCCCCCCCCGCCACAGCCTGCCACTGCATCCCACCCCAAATCCCCACATTTCTGACTCAGTGGGTGGGGCACCTGGCCTCAGGCTGACATCCCCTGCATTTCATCACTCATCCCACAAGCACTTCCTGTCGATCATGCCTCCAGGCCTTGGTACAACCTGCTCCTCCTGTCTGGAAATCCCCTCCCCTCTTTACCTGGCTGCTTCCTCCTCATCCTTCAGTCAGGTGTCTTCTCAGCCGTCACCTGCTCAGGAACCCTTCCCTGATCTCACCCTTTCCTGCTGGGATCCCCAGCCTCTGTCATGCCTGACTGATGGTGCTGCACTGTAATTATCCGTCTGTGTCTGGCCCCACCACTAGGCTGTGTGCCTGGGAAGGCATACAGCAGCCTCCCTCCTCCCTGTGTCCTCTTCCCTCCACATACACTTGGCCCGGTGCTGGGCATGTGCTGGGCACTCATCCCCTCAGCCCCTCTCTGGGGTCCTCCTGATTTTTTTACTGTCCTTGAAGCCCTTTCAGTCTCTTTTGTGGATCAACATCTACCCCACCCCAATCAGGAGCCTACATGTCCCCACTGCCCTCCTGCCCCCAAATGCCCAACGTCCTGGTTCCTACCTGCCTCTCGGATGAGCTTCTTGGCCTTGCGCTCGCTGAGGGAGCTGACCTGGCAGGGCTGGGGCGGGGTCGGGGCCGGGCGCAGGGTCCGCAGGCGGGTGGCACAGCAGTACACTGCCAGGGCAGACAGCTCCGGGGAGATCTGCTTGGCCTGGGAGACGAGCCTCAGCGGGGGTCCGCTGGATCCAACCCACCGCCTCCATCCTCCTGCCCCAAGCTCCACAGTGGTACCAAGCCCGTGCCTAGTCCGGGATTGGCCCAGCCAGGCCCACTCACCCGCCGCCTCTGCTCTGCGGCCCCCGCCTCCTCTTCCTCCTCCTCCTCCTCCTCCTCCCGGTCTGATAGAATTCCACCATCCTCTTCCCGAGCAGCTGGCAGCTTCTTCCCTTTCACCAGGACCCGGCCTTTCAGCTGCTGTAGAAGCCAACATGGAAGAATTAAGCTCTCCTGCCCCTATGTGGGCTGGTTGGTCTGTCATTCAACCACCACTGGGTGAGGGGCTGGCTGGAGGTGGTGAGCAGGGAATGGGGACACAGCTGAGTGACGTTTCTAACAGGAAAAAACCTATAAGGGGAACAGCTTATGAGGCTATCCACAGGGGACCTGCTAATGAGGTCCCTCCAAGCATCAAGATATAACATAGCAGCCAGTACAATGAATGAGGCAGCTCAGGGCTGAAAGAGGAGCCCTCTTTAAAAAACATTTCATATGAAAGAAGTGAGTGTAGAACATGTGATCACATGATCTTCTTTATGTATCCTTTGAAAGAGAAGATAGCTATGTATATATGTATATATGCATGGAAAAGTCTTGAAAGGATACACAAGATACCACTGAAGATGGTTACTTCATGGGAAATAGGACAGGGTGAGTCTGAGTGGAGGGAAAACCATTTTTCATTGTTGTATGCTTTTGTTGCAGCTCCATTTTTTCTTTTACCATATGTATGTGATTTTTCATACTAATAAAAAAATCAAATCACGCACAAAGATAAATCAACATTCCCTGCATATCTGGGATTGGGAGTAGGAGGAGAGTTTTCTCAAGGAGCCCAAAAAGGACAAATGTCCTGAGGGGGCAGATAAAATGCTTGGGGGCTTGAGAGGAAAGAAGAAAGGATCGATAACTGAATCACTATGCTGAACACCAGAAACTAACTAACAACACTGTAAACCAACTACACTTCAATTAGAAAATAAGAATACATAAAGAAGAGGAAGAAGAAGGAAGGACCACTTCTGGCCAGAGAGCTGAGGAAGCTGTTAAGGCCACAGAAGAGGTCCTTGATGCTGAGCTAGAACTCTAAGCAGGTGGCTTCTGGCGAGCACAGGTGGCTGGAAACGGAGCTCCAGGTGAAGACAATGTCAGCCTTCGAGGTGGGAATGGCCAAGCCTGCAGGGCCTCCGTGGGCAGGAGGCAGAGCAGGGAGGGCAGGGCCAGGTCATGGAGGGCCTTCCACGCCAGGTGAGAGGGTAGGGTGTGTCTTGTCAAAATGCAAGGCAGACAAGTGACAAGACCGTGGGGCGGCAGATGTCAGATGAACAGAGAAGCAGGGGAAGGTTAAGGCGGAGAGAGGGGAGGGTCCTGCACAAGGAAGGTGGCATGAGCGGAGGTGGATGGTGGGCCTCAAAGCCAGACCCTCCCCCCATCCAGGCTAGGGGTCTTGGAGTGTCACCTCTGGGGACGGCAGCTCTTCAGGGTTGTGGGAGTCCAGCACCTGCGTCACCAGCATGTCCCCCAGGATGGTGCGGAGGTGGCGGGCCATGGCAGCCTGCTGCTCCAGCCCACAGTGGTTCTCAAGGGACAGGATGACGGGGTATGGGGACAGCTGGCAGGGGAGGAGGCAGCAGCTCAGAGCCACTCCCCCCTCCCCCACTGGTACCCTGCTACACCCACCCCACCCCCTTCAAGACAGGCAGGCAAAGGAGGGCTCTGGAGAACCCACCCTGGGGAAGACTGAGTCGGTGGGATGTGGGACACACCAGGGTCAGGGTGTACGTGGAGAGGCAGAGGTCATATCTGGGGCCTTGGGAAGGGATGGCCTGTCTGGGGAAATGAGAGCAGCTGCAGGAAACTTTTTATTTTATAAATGCTCTTTATATATTAATGACATTGATCATATCATTTAGGTTGCAAACTTTTCATCCCAGCCCGTCATTTGTTGATGGTAAGATGTGTATAGCTTTGCAAGTTGAAATTTTATGTAGATGCAACGTTGAGCTTCTCTTTTATGCCTTTCTCTTTGTGAGTCATGATTAAAATGTCCTTCCTTACCCACAAGGTTTTCTTCTGGCAATTCTGTGATTTTAATACATTTACTAATTATGAGGGTAGAAGAAGGGAGCCTCTTACCCAGCTTTATTCTACCTGATTGGCAAGTGGTCCCAGCCATACTTGGTGAAAGTGATTCTCTGGGCAGGGGTTTCTTTTGGAGGAACAGAGGGTGGCTGGGCTCACTGCGAAAGCTCTAGGGTGGGGCCTGGGGTTCCTGGGGCTCACCATGAAGGCGTGGTCACGCACTGCCTGGATCACATCTCGGAAGAGGATCTTGGAGGTGAGGGTGTGGCCATGGTAGATGACCGGCTCCCCTCCTGGCCCCTCCCAGCAGTCCAGTTCCACACAGCGGCATCCCTGGGCAAAGGCCCTGTAGATGGATGGACAGGCAAGGTGTCAGAAAGCAGGGCAACAGGCAGGCCCCAGGTAGGCTCCAGGAAGCCCACAGTGGGAGATGAGCCCCATATGCCCCCCAAGCTGGGCTCCAAGACATGTTCACCCCCACAGTCCCCCAACTATGGTACCTAACGTAGGCCTCAGTGCTGCTGGGCCCCCCAATCTGAGAGTCAGTCAGATAGGTATTGTGAGAGGAGGAGATGAAGTAGTGGGCGAGGGGCTGGTCCATGTCCTGGAACACGCACGTGTGGGCCGGGTCCAAGGCAGCCCCCTCAGGTGACAACAGGTACATCATGAAGCCATCCAGTGTCATCAGCTCGTGTTGCTTGGCTGCAGGAATGGGCAGAGGAGAGCGTCAGGCCACAGAGGGGACCTTCCCATGTCTGGCTGCATGCCTTAAAGCTCATTCAACTTAGTAATAATGAGCACCTGCCTACTGACTAGACTCTACATATCATTTAATTTCAACCCAACACCGTGAGGAAAGGACATTACTATGCCATTTTACTGATGTGGCAGCTGGAGGCGAGGTAACCTGCCAAAGACGGTGCCCACAGCCAGTAGCAGCAGAGACCACTTAGCTGGGAACCTGGACCTGTCAGAGGCCAAGCCCCAGGCTATGTTGGCCAAAACCCCATTGTCAGATCCCTCACCTGTCTCGTTGAGCTCATAGGTGTGGATGAGCTGTTGGGCACGGGCCAGCGTGGCACCATCCTCACCCTGGTCCTCCAGGAACTCCAGCAGCTCAGGGGCGCTAAGCACACGGTCCTCGCCCGAGTACCGATAGAAGATGTCCTCCAACTCCGGGCGTTTCAGCAGCCGCCGAAGAAACTCCTCGATCTCAGTCCCCTCCAGTCGCTCGTTGTTGGAGTGGTCACACTCCTGGAGTGAGTAAAGAAGTTTCAGGAGAGGGTAAAACGCTACCCAGGCCCAGATGTGGCCTTTCTGCAGAGAGGCCACTCTCCCCAAAAAAGCTGGGGGGTGGGGGGTGAGAGCTGGTGACTCAGATGCTCGGGGAGGACAGAGCAGAGGTCAGAGGGGTGGCAGTGCCCACCTTGAAGAGGCGGTAGGCGTACATGTCATTCATGTCCACGTTGACCATTCGGAGCAGGCTCTTGATCTCCTTGAAGCTCATCTTACTGTCCTGGTTGGAGTCTGCCCGGTGCAGATAGGAGTGGATCCAGGTGTGGGTGCTCAGGAAATACCAGCAACCGGCTGGGCGCCGCCCCCGGCAGTCGCGTAACTGACTGGTAGCTCACACCCCCCACTCTGGGGGCTCCTGGGTTTGGGGGCTGTGCTTTCCCCTCAGCCTGTGGACCCCCCTGGGCACCACAGCTGTGTCCTCCGGGACCCGCGCTCCCCAGAGACAGGAGGCCGCGTTGCCACCCTCAGTTCTGAAGACAAGGGACTGTCTCAGACCGTGGGCTCCCTAAGAACGAGGCCATGCCTCCCCTGGGCCTGAGGTCCTCCCGGGACAGAGCCAACCCCGCTCCACGCCCGGGCCCGCTGCGCTCTCTGGGAGGATATTGGTCGAGGCGCTCGCGCTGGCTCATGGCCTCAAGGCGCATGCGCAGCTTGGCCAGCCCGCGCACCCAGCGCTGGGCCTCCTCCGCCGTCGGCGCTGCTAGGTCCAAGTTCTTGCGGCTCCCCTTGAAGGCGATGGTGAGGCAGCGCGCTGGCTCGAAGGCACCCCCGAAGCGCCGAAGGCCCTCGGACTGGTGGCCCTCGCGGACGGCCTCGATGTGCTGCACGAAGACTGCGGGGAGCGACGGGACACGAGCGGCCGGGTCAGGGTGCTGGGGCCAGGCCCCCACTATCCCCAACCCGATACTGTCCCCAGCACCCCCACCCCCACCCCCGCACCTGCCCAGCCCCAGCTCACAGATGTGTTGCGATGGTGCGCGCGGGATGCGCCGCTGAAACCACACGCTCAGGCCATCCTCCTGCAGCCGGTACAGCCTCTCCTTTTGCCACGTTCTCGAGCGGATCTTGCAGAGCCGGGAGCCCCGCAGCATGGCTTGCACGTCCTCATCTTCAGTCAGGCCTGCGGGGGCAGGGGGCCATGGGGCATCCTGGCCGGACTTGTCCGACCCTGCCTGCCAGCTCTCTCCACCCTCCTCCTAGCTGGAAGCTGCGGCCTCCCTCTCGAACCCCTGCAAACCCTTTGAGGTCACTTTTCCTCTCCTTGTAATATGCCCCAGTACCGGCGTTGGCTCAGGCTTTTTGGCCTCAAGGCCTGTGTTTGGTGTGTCCCACCCAGGCCCACTCTCCTCCCTGCCAAGCAGCCTCCCCTGGAGGCCCTCAGAGCAGAGCATCTACTCAGGCAGCAACTGGGACTCAAGCCTCACTAAAGGTTACCCTTTCTGCCGCTCCCCTCCATCAGGGCCTCCAGCCTTCAAGCCCAGAATCTGCTATCAACAGCCTTTCCCCTTGACATGAAACTCTGACCATCAAGAGGGTAGTCTCATTAACTTACCTAAATCTTTCTTGCTGCAACCCAAGCTCCTCTGCTTTCCCAAAGACAAGGGAGGACAGCAGAGGCCACTCTGGCTCCCAGGTGACAGGCCAAGCACACCCAGCCCATCCCTGTCTTGGCCAGCCTGAGGCTGATCTCCAGATGCCCTGGTGAGGTCCAGCCAAAAGCATGATCTCCTGTGACATGTGGTACTTCCCCTTACCCAGTCACTGTCACACCCCATGTAACCCCTCATCCCACATGTGTTCTCCGGTCACAGCATCCATATTCTTTAATAAGATAAAATGTTTACAAAGTACGTACTACATACCAGACCCCACTCATGTATAAACACATAAGAAAACAAGTGCAGATATGCTTCAGGAACTTGCCAGAATTCCATGGGTGGGAAGCGGAAGCAGGCTTCAAATCCTGGAGGTCAGGCTCTAGCACTGTCACCCTTGGCCTCTACACTGACCCCTCTGCTCCTGTTTCTATTCACCCTCTCCCCACTCCGGGCAACCACCCTGGGCTTGGGGGGGGGTAAGAAACAGCAGATTTAAATTCAGGGGTCCGGGGAGTCAAATCCTAGTTCTGTTATTTCCCAGTTACACGGCCTTGGTGGTACCACCCTGTGATGGCTCTAAGCCTCATGTTCTCCATTCATAAAATGGAGACCACAGTAATACCTGCTAGGGAATCTAAAATTCAGTCAAGTTGCTACCCATCCTGGTGGGGCCACACCCTGTTCGATTCACCTCAGCAGGCGTCAAAACCAAAGGTTTATGAGCCAGGGGATGATAGAATGTGCAGGAACCAGCCAAATTGTAGGGTCCAAGGCTTTTGCAAGGGGGGTAGCCAGGAGTGGATGAGGGCCCAGAGTTTCCAGAGAACCAGAATCTGGATTTATATGTGAAGCCTCCAGATTTTTCAATGTTGGCAATTAAATCAAATTGAAACAAAAAGCCCTAAAACACCACTGCGTGGGAAAAAGGAAATAGGATAGTGCTTCTCTTCCTCCCTTTATTTTAATAAGCTCCCAGTACTGGGTTCAGCCCAACAGCCCCTGCCTGCCCACCTGCAAACCCTGACCTAAAGAATCAAGTCTAAATTCCTGGGTCTTCCTCTCACTCTCTCTAGGAGCTTTTATGGGATCCTTCTCCTGCCTCTTCCTCACAATGGAGTCCTTCAAAGACCAGCTCAGATACCTCCTCCTCCAGGAAGCCTTCCCTGATTTGTCCTCAAATAGGCATTCTCCTTCCCTGACCTCCAACATTTTTTACTTTAATTAAAATGCCCTGCCAAAATTGTAATTTCAGTGGACTTTAATAAAACCCAGCACTGGAATATCCTCACCTCAATGCTTGTATCAGAGCCAGGCTACAGCCAGTGTTTTCTGAAAGGGGAGGCAGATGGACAGAGAGCTGGGGGACTAAGTGCATTCTAGCCCCAGCCCTATACCATCTGTCCCAGTTTCAGGGCAGAGGCCTGTGGTTCTCAACCCTGGCTGTGCATTAGAATCACCTGGGGGAGGTTGTAAAACCCATGACCCAGAGATTCTCATCCAGGAGGTGCAGGTTGGGGGTTGGGCATCTGTATGTTTAAAAAGCTACACTGTGACTTTGAGGACAACTGTGATTGAGAATCATGGTCTCAGCAGCAGGAGTAGAAATCTGTTATCTTTAAGAGGCTGTGGTCAATTTGTGACCCTAATGGCTCCAAGGGGTCTCTAAAGGTTTAGACTGTGGCCTTCTGGAAGGGTCAGTGCCCACTCTGGTGCCACCTAGCCAGGAAGGGGAGGTGGAACCCTCCTTCTTCCAAAGAGCTGGAACATGGCATGTGCCAGGCCAAGAGACTCACCAGATCGTCAGCCTCCTACCCCCACATCCAGGCAACCTCTGAATTCTCTCATCCTGTGGATGGAGGCAGGGCAATCAGGGGAACCTGCAGGGCCACCAGGACTGAGTCCACCCCTCCTCTACCTCCTCAGCTGTGGGAAAGGGGACTCCTAGCTCCTGTGACAACAGGCTTTTCAGCTGGGGCCACCTCCCCTGACCCGGCCAGTCCTCTGGTGCCAAGCCCAGAGCTGGTGGGGGGAGGTGGAGAGGAAAGGGGCTGGTGAATGACTAAGGCCGGAAATGGAGGTGAGTCACTGACAGCCTGCTTTGTCCAGAGTTTTCTGCAAACAGGACAAGAAGAAAGACAGCGAGAACCCCTGACCAGCCCCCAACCGGGACAGGTCCCACGTTGAGGCGGCCCCTGCTCCTGGCTGTCACTCCCAGCTCCCCAGGAGTCTGTTTGGGGAAGGAGTGACATTCTATTCTGCCCACTCAACTAGCACTGGTGCCCAGATCACACTGCCCCTTGGACCACACTGTCTCCCGACCCCACTGCTGGGGGAAAAAGCCACACGGAATGAGGGTGACATGCCAGGCCAGGCCAGGTGCTGAGTCCCTGGCTGGGTGCCTCTATTTCTCCATTACTTGAGCTTCTGAACCCTGGGGTAGTGAGGGGTCTGGGGTGTCAGACAGGAAGGGCAGGACCAATAGAGGTAAGGGGGGTAAGGTCAGGAGGAGGGCCCAGGCCCCAGGCAGTGATGTTGGGAGGGGCCTGGCTCTGTCCACCCACCCAGGAGACATTTATAGGTCCTGCCAGACCCAAACCCACAGGTGTTTTCTTGACCTCACTGCTACCTGCTCAGAGTAGGTGCACAAGCTGCCTGCCTCCTGTGGTTTCTGTGGGTTCTCTATCCATCTCTGCCTTGAACCTGGAGCTGGATTGGGCCAGCACCATGACCAACTTGACCAAGCAGGTAGGGGAATAATCATGAAATAATAGTAGTAAAAATGAGGACAAACAATAGCCAAAATGTATAAAGAACCCAAGTGTCCATCAACAGATGAATGGATAAGCCAAATGTGGTATATACACACAGTGGAATATTGAAACGGATTTGATATTACTTACACTTCAATTTTTAAAAATTCAGAAACAGAAAGTAAATTGGAGATTACCAGGGGCTGGGGAAAGGGCAGAATGGGAGATTGTGGCCTAATGGTTACAAAGTTTCTGTTTAGGGTGATGGAAAAGTTTTAGAACTAACACATCATTGTGAATGTAATTAATTCCACTGAATTTCCTGCTTAAAAATGGCTTAAATGGCCAATTTTGTATTCTATTATATTTTACCACAACTTTTGGAAAATTAATAATGCAATATGCCAGAAATCACTGTCCACTTTAAATGGCTGAATGGTATTGTATGTAAATTAATTCTCAATAAAGCTGTTAAGGAGGCACGGAGCAGCTAGCCAACTTGTCCAGGGTCATGGGTCTGTAAGTGGTGGAGTTGGAATACATTGTGAGTTGGGGAGGGTGGGGGTGCTAAGCCAAAGGGCTCTGTGTCAAAGGCTGAAAGGAGCACACAGAGCACTCTGTGTGGGGCCTGTCCACAGGGGGCACCAACAAATGTTAATGAAGAAGGAAACCAAGGAAACCGAGGCAGTGCCCAGTAGGGAGGAGGGACCTGGGTCTTCTGCTACATCTGTGCTTCTCAGTCCCGTGGGCTCCAGCTGGTTCCCTCTCCTGCCCAGCCCAGCTCCCTGTTGTTAGCTGGGCCCAGACACCTTCCCTGGGCGGACTGCTGATCTCAGCCTCCAGAGAGAGGCCAGGAGGTGGTGAGGAATGGGCAGGCCTGCAGTTTCCCCAATGACCACCTTCAGCCTGGGCGGTTTGGGTGGGGTGTGATCTGGGGCCTGAGCAATTTTGTGGCTAAGTCTGGGGACAGCTCAGTGGCAGAGCTGGAAGGGGCTGTTGGAGGCCAAGTTCATGTCTGGTTCCCACTCTCATAGATGGGCCACTGATGATCAGAGAGGACAAGTCGTGTTTGCTGAAAGCAGTGTGGGTCAGCCAAGGCAGGATGGACCCAGGGGCTGTGTAGGAGGCAGGCAGAGGCCAGAGCTGGCTGGTGGCAGGAGTAGGAGACGCTGTGTGGTCATGGGGTGTGTATGCAGAGAGCAGGGTGTGTAAGGAATGAAGATATGTGTAGGGGGTGGTGTGTGCATATAAGGTGTGTACATGTGTATGTGTATGGGGTTGGCGGGTAGGAGGAAGGTGGTCAGCTTGGGGTAGAAACTAGGCAGTGTGTGTGTGTGTGAGAGTGTACATGAGCCAATGCACACTCAGGAAGGGCACATGGGGCTCCAGCAGGAATGTGAGACATGCAGGGAACAGCGACAGCCGACAGCGTCATGCCAATGGGGGGAGGGGAGGAAGAGCAGCTTTTCCCGGTGACTGAGGCTATGGGGCTCTGGGGGCACAGGCAATGATGAGGACTCTCCAACACCTTCCCACCTGAATTCTTGGGCCAGCCAGTAGTCCCAGCACGTCAGGTACCAAGAGTGTCCCCCTCGCCCCAGTTGGCTGCCACACCCAAGGCTAGAGCCCAGCAGAGCTCAGAGCCAGAATCCATAACATTCCTTAAAGGATCAACAAAGTCAGGAAAGGCAGGCGGTGCTTCCCCTACCCCAGCGGACACAAGGCAATAAAGGTGGCAGCACCCTTTTCAGCAGGGCCAGGCCAGTTGTGAAAGCCTGTTTCAGGGCAGAGATCATGAAGGAAGGGGGTGCTCCTGAGAGCTGAGGAAGGAGGAGAGGTGAGGGAGGCCAAAAGGCATCACACAGTGAGCCCCCTAGTCCTGCCTGGCATGTGCTGGCGTGAGTGACCTGGAGGGCTACCCAGCCCTCCCCACCACCCAGGCACCTGGTGGGACTTCTGGCTGCTCTGAAGACCCCCACCTGCCAACCTCACCCCTGGCAGCCCCACTCACCCTGCAGGAGACGTCCTGGGCAGGCCATCGGGAGAGTCCACTTGCCCTGTGGCCCCTGGTGATGTGTGCAGACCAGGGAAGGGAGCAGATTCTGCCCACTCAGTGCTCTGCTCCCAGGGAGGATTAGAGGCGGGGTGGAGCACTGGAGGCACAGGGACAGATGGGGGCTCTGGGAAGATAGGGTTGCCAGATCAAATTCAGGATGCCCTGTTAAATGTGAATTTCAGATAAACAACAAATAATATTTTAGTATCAGTATGTCCAAAATTATTTGTTGTTTATCTGAAATTCACACTTAACAGGGCATCCTATATTTTTTTGGCAACCCTATGAGGAGGACACCCCTGAAGGCTGGCAGAGCCACTGTGAGGGAGGGGTGTAGCAGGCTCCCCCATCCTGGCATAAATCACTCATTCATCTACGGTGTTAGGAGCATGGACTCTGGGTTCAAATCCTCTCTTGGCTACTTCCCAGCTTTGAATCCTTGGCAAGTTACTAAACCTCTCTGAACCTCAGTTTCCTCACTTGTAAAATGAGGCTAATGGTTCTACCTGCCCCATACAGTTGTGACTTTAAAAGAGCTAATATGTGAAAAGTGCCAGCACCTTGCTGTAAAGGTGTTAATTAGTATTCATTAATTCTGGCAATAAAGAGCCATCATTGAAAATGATGGCTTTGGCAGCAGAGGGACAGTGCTGCCTCTTAGCTGTGTGGCCTTGGCCAGTTACTTCACCCCCTCCTCCTGGGATTTCTCTTCTGTAATGTGAGGACAGAGCAGCACCTTTCCAGGGGGTAGTGGGGGTGGCCAAGGATTAAGCAGGATCTGGGCTAAGGCGAGCTCAGCGCTGTGTCTGGCGCTCACTGGGCTCCTCTTCTTGCTGTTCAACTGTTCCCTGACTTCCTGGGGGCAGGCAAGCCAGCAGCCCAGCCTGGGGATGGGGATGGGTGCCCCCAGAGGACTGGATCCCAGGCTACACAAATAACTCCCTCTCAATGTGGGGGCTGCTCTTCCTCCCCTCTCATCCTGGTTCCCCGCAGTGTGGCCCGAAAGGCCCCTGTTTTTCCTTGGGCCCCTCTGAGTCTTTGACTCTGAGCCACGCACTGCCCTAGTCTCTTGACCGGATCTGAAATGAAATCTGTTCTCTGTTAGCCTAAGGGGTGTGGTCAGGCAGTGACAAGCGAAGCCCTGAGGATTATTTCAGGAGAGGCAGCTGTGGGTCGGAGTGGAAGCTAGCCGGGTGGCAGACCTAGGGCCTTGGCCTTGACATCCTGAGGAGCTGGGCCAAGTCCACCCTGTCCCTGGACTCAGCGAGGCCTGGAGAAGGGCATTTCCCACAGACTTGACATTCCTCTCTTTCGTCAGTCACTCAGCAGGACGGTGCAGTGGTGGGGAGGGAGGGTGGCCCAGAAGACATTCTGACGCCCACATAGTTCCCTACAGTGTCACTGTGACAGGGTGCCCAGAGCTCCCGTGCAGTCTGACTCAGCCAAAGGGTGCTGAGTCTTGGACTCCGCTGTAATTTGTCTACAAGTGTCCCCTGGCACTACACCGTATGCTCCCCCAGGGCAAGGCTCTGTGCTCTTCATCTCTGTAGTCCCAGCCCCTGGCATAGCGCCCTGGCTCACTGATGGCACTTAGCAAATAATGTGTGTGAGTGAAGAGGCAGACAGGTGTGCAGGAGCATGACCTCAGCCCTCCACAGCATCCACAACCCCCACAGGTGGCTGACTCCCAGGGCTGCTTCTTTGGCCTAACACCAGCCCTTGGCTGTGTCGGTGGCACCACAGCTCCCCCTGGCCATCCCCCTCTCCCCAAGCCACTGCCCCTTAGCCCAGAGAATGACACTGCCACTGATCAGACAACTTTCAGATCCCGCCGACTGCAGAGTCCAGCCCAATCTACGTCCCTGTGGTTCTGGAATCCATCTCAGCTGCATCAGCCCACATCTGAACCCCACTATAGCTTGCCTGTCTCCTTGTTTTACCTCCACCTTCATCCAAGCCACCCCTACTCTACACAACACCTGCCTCTCTCCTCCTGCCTGAGACCTCTCCCAGGCTCCTGCTGCCCTCCAGAGAAAGGCCATAAAGAGGGGTCTTGATGATCCAGCCTCCACCTGCCTCTCCCTCTTTTCCTCACCCCAGTCTCCTTCCAGATCTGGGGTACAGCGGGGCCCTCACTGGCTGCCCAGCATCTCACTTGCCCCTCCTTTCAGAGCCCTGTTTCTTTGCTTCATTGTCTGACATCCATGCTGGTGCTTCAGCTCTCTGAGGGCGAGAACTGTGTCTGTATTGTTCACCGCTGAACCCCCAGGGCAGAGCATACTACAGTCACTGGATAAATGTTTGTTGAATGCACATGTAATTGATGGAGGGTAGAGCAGAGATCACGTCTTCCTTCTCTGTGATGAGAGTGCCAGGCATGGTGCTCAGAACATAGTCAGAGCTCAATATATTCAGGTCAAATAAATGAGAGAAGGTAGAAGGAAGAGCAAGGAGGTGGAGAGGCAGTGGTAAAGAGAAGGCCAGTGCAGCAATCGGGACCCCTGATTTTTGCCCAAAGATTCACGCAGGTCTCCTGGCAGCCCTGCTCTTCTGTTCCCTCAGCCCCACCTCCGACCTCTCCATCGTTAACTATTCTACCGACCGCTGCTCCACTACACCACTTCAGTCTTATATACTTTACATTTTATAAAATAATCTCACGCATACACCCCCTCGCTCAAGCCCTCAACCACCCAGTCAGTCCCACTTTGCCTAGACTCTGAGAGGGTGCCAGCAGCAGTGTGGGGCCCTTTCCTAGCTATGTGGCCATAGACAAATTCCTTGCCTTCTTGGAGTCAGGTTCATCTGTGAAATGAGGATTATACTTATTTGCCTCTCAGGAAGGTGAAGAAGAGTGAAGGTCACCACATCTGTAACCACCCAGCGCCTGCCTGTGTCTAGGAGATACCTCCTGAACCACAGTTACATTCCTTCCCCAGTGACTTCCCCCAAGACTGAGAGGGCAGCTCTGGCTTTTTGACTCCAAGGTCAGTCTTCTCATCACTTGGACCAGCCCTACCAGTGCTGTGTGGCTGTTGTAACCCCAGTGCAGGCTGCAGGGTTGGAGGGCTGGCTTGAGATGCCAGCCCCTTCTACAACTCTCACGCCCTCCTAAGGGGGCCAAGAACCCAGGATGCCCGGGGGGGGGTGCCCTAGAAGGTGTTGGGGAGGGGGCTAAGGATACCTCAAGCCTGTTCCTCTCCACTCTCCCTGCCCTCTGGAACCCCAGTCTGCGCCCCTCGCCCAAACTCCCACGCCACACGTCCCGCGGGCGCCTCCTGGTGGGAAACAAAGGCCATCCCTGGAGCCTCTCTCGGACCCGGGGACCTGGCGTGACACCAGGTGCGACCCACCTACTGGAACGGTGCTGGCATTCCTCCCCTCACCAGATTCCCCACAGCTCCACTGGGAATCCCACGAATAGCTCGCCGGAACACCCCGACCCTCCCTGTCTTAG